TTTCACAATTTAACTGGATATTTTATATACTAATTCAGTCCTTGARGTATAGGTCCTAATATAAATATGCTCTCTCAGAATCTTGACTTTGATTTCTTTTTTGATACCAAGAAAAAGAAGAAACTAAATCAATTACATTGCAAGAAATTTTTTCTTATAAGAGTTAATATTGGAATTGCTATTCTAATGCAAAGTAACTTAGGGAAGTTTTTCATGAGACATTAGTTCTTGGCCTTTTTGCTGAGACTCTGGTATTTGTCACATTATTTATTAATTACAATAATTTATTGTACCTGGAAGAGTGAATTAAATTTCCAGAGAATCATATAAAAATTGAATTTGAATTGCAATTAAGTTCAACATTAATTTAATTACATTGATGAGTAGTTCAAAATGTGTTTTAAATATAATACATTTTTCAAAAATGTCTTTTAAATGARCAGGAAACTCTGATGAGGAAGAAAGTGTTTCCGAGTCTGAGCTCTGGAAGGGTCCACTACCAGAGACAGATGAAAAATCACAGTAAGTGCTCATACTTATAGATAATACAGACCCATTTAACCATTTTAAGTAGCTATGACCACAGCCACTCTTGATAACAAGGGAAAAATTTAACATCATGAATGTTAACATCTTACCATTTCTAGCCTGGTAAGAAGAAAGTTTTTTCCCAGACATTGTTTATGGCCATAAACAGCCAATGTCTGTCTCTATCTTCCTCGTGGTGAATACACCTTTTATCAGCTCATCCTAACAGATGGTCCGGTCTTTCCTTGGATTTCTTTAGAGAAGACTGTTTACCAACTTCCAGGGCAGTCTGTTCCACGTTACTGTGATTGTCAAAAATCCCTACTGAAGAACCCCTTAAAGATATATACAGGTGGAGAAGTAGACTTGCCAACATCCACCTTAGCTCCCCAAAGATGGATAACTCAGTGCATTTATTTCTGCTATAGGTGGAAGAGGAAACACTGACTGAATATGGGCTGAAATATTGTCAGTTTTGTCATATATTGGGATATTCACTGCTTGAATTTTATCTATTAGAAGGAGATAAAATACCATGTAGAGTTTAATGTGAAGATTAAATAGAATTAAGAAAATAACACACCTGGTACAAATAAATGTAATACATGCTCAATAAATTTTAGTCCCCTTTTTTCAGTCCCTAGCCATTTTGGTTCATAAAAGAGATCTGTTGAATCAACTATACTTTATTACTTTAAACTACTTATAAAATATTTTGCTGATTATATATGTCCTCAGTGTGATAGAGTTTAGGTGTGTTAGAGGTATTTAAGCAAAATTACTTTTTTTCTGTGGCAACCTTTTTTTCCCTCAAAGAATTCCCAAAAGTATGATTATTATAGATAAAATTATTTAAAAAACCTTTGCTGTAAATAAAATACTGGTGTTCAATTTAAATGACTAACTAAACCTCTATCCGTTTGTTGAGCACCTCTCCTTGAGGGGCTTTATAGCTGAGAATAGCAGAAAAGGTGTTTGCCTCAGCTCACCTTTTTGGGCAATAAAGAGACCTGAGTAAATCCCATGAAAGAAGGCTTTCATAATACAAAACTTTTATATATTCAACTCTTTTGACATTGAACATCTAAGTCCCTGTAGAGGTTTCACCAATTTCATATATATAATTTCTGTAGTTTTCTAACTATAGTTAGTACTGTTATTGCTAGTGAAAAAATAGCATATGGAGAATATCAAATTGCAGATGATTCTTTAATCATTTCTATTTGATTCTATAATTTTTCCTTTCAATTTGGACATATTTTTGTTGGCTTTATGCATTCTAAGTTATTTTAAACCAAATGATATGGTCCTATTAGACATATCTGATCTAAAAGATAATTTTTTAAAAGAGATCAGTAGGCTAATTTTTATTATCCATTTTATTCTGTGTTCCCAGAAAAAGAAAAACACCTGTGTATTCATTTAATCCTCACAACAACTCTGTGGGAATAGAAATTATCTTTATTTTACAGATGTTAAAACCGAGTATAAAGAAGTAACTTGTTCACATAGCTAATGAATAACAGAGTTAGAACTATACAGGGTGCAATTTCAAATTCTGCTATTTCCACTGTCTCACACTGGCTCCTTGCACTCATGTTTATTTAGTACTTTACACTTTTCATAGTATTTTTATACACTGAAYTCTTAAGGGGGAACTCTTCTTTTGTTTGGGGCAGTACTAGAGATTGAATCCACAGCCTCATGCATGCTAGGCAAGCACCCTACCACTGAGCTATATCCACAGCCCTGTAATCTAGTTTCATATCTCCTTCCAGAGTTCTGTTCTTTGTTTTAGATATAAGATTCTTGGTCCAGGCTGGCTGCACACCTGTAATCTCAGTGACTGAAGACTGAGGCAGGAGATTACAAGTTTAAGGCCAGCCTCAGCATCTTAGCAAGACCCTGTCTCAACATAAAGCATAGAAAGGGTTAAGAATGTATCTATAGCTCAATAGTAGAGGATCCCTGAGTTCAATTCCCAGTATTGAAAAAAAAAATTATTGCTACTAATACATAATATATTTACTGTTTTCAATATAATAAAATACTATAACCTAAGCAAAATCTCCCTGGTTTTGGAAGTCTGCAACCTAAGCAAAATCTCCCTGGTTTTGGAAGTAAGACGTGTATTTTTTTCCTTAAAAATAACTTTTTCATTCACTTTTTCAGCAGAATATAGTTTGAATTGAGAATGAACAGAGAAGGTATAAAGTAAATCAAAAAGTAAAGAGAAGCAGTGACATTTCAGAGTACTTTAAAGCAAAATCTTAGGTATTACATTTTGGGAGAGGTGTCAACTTGTAAATTATTTTAATTTTAATAAATATGAGTATGGTTTCAGTTATTTTAGAAACTTAAGAATTACTCTGTGACTGATTCATGGAAATATTGATGCATACAAGACTCAGTGTTTTCATTAATCTCATAATGTGTCTCCAAATAATTTTTTATTCTATTGGTTTTAATAACTATACTTTTTCTTTTTAACAGGGAAGAAGAATTTGATGAGTATTTTCAGGATTTGTTTCTGTGAGATGGGAGAGAGAAAGCCTGCATTCCTTAATGTGAAAATATACTTCAAAACTTCATAAAATTTTTATCTATAGGTTGCAGTTGGAATGGTTGGTCTTTGGAAATAAAAATTCAGCCACTCTCAGGATGTCTAATGCTTCCTGAGTTCATTAGCAGACACACTTCCCAGTCCTTTTTCAGATGCTCATCTGTAATTCTCTTTCATTCATAGCTCCTTGATATACATTTAAACATGAAATGATTGGCATGAAATTGAAAACTAAGTAATTTAGTGTCTTACTGTAAAAGGGTTAATATCAGAAATTTTCCTTTTATTAAACAGTTGTTATTCATTAATTCCACAAGTRTTTATCAGGCTTTTATTACATGTAAGGCACTGTGCTAGGCATTGCTGTAAAGAAACTGTCTAGGAAATAATTATGCAATCATTTCTGAACTTGTTAGAAAATAGTAAATTGGTGTTAGGTTTATTAATGTTAAATATCATGTGAAAGTTCCTTCATTTCTTGAAGGTATTGTTTTTTCATCTCACAACTTTACATTGAAATAAAAAGGAATCTTGATTTCTAAGAAAAATATTTGAAAGGTCCAAAAGTTAAATTACTAGAAGTGAAATATATGTAATTAAACATTCTTATGATAAAAATATAGTCCTATTCCTACAGAATTTAATGTTAATTGGAAGAATATCTAAATACCCCTTTAAAATAGATCCATATATTTGGTAGTGCAAGTATGAGTTTATGTATCAAGTTCAATGATAAATGTAGATTGTTACATAAAATTAAAATACTTAATCCATTCAATGTAATGACAGATGATGAAAGTTCTTGTGTGTGTGTGTGTGTGTGTTGCTTGGGTTTGAATCCAGGGCCTTGTGCATGCAAGGTAAGCACTCTACCAACTGAGCTATATCCCTCTCCTATAAGTCCTATTTTAAGGAGTATTTGAAAAGTGCTCCAAAATGATAGTTTAAACATTAATTCTCCTACATACCTATTTCACACTTTGCYTCAGTGCAGTCAGTAGACCCTTGGTCTGGAGGGTTTGAGACTATGCTTCCTTACAATTGCTCTGAAGCAGAGTTCGTATATTTGGCAGACCTTCAGTGGTGGCACATTGCTACCCTCAGCTCAGTTTCTGGTGACTGAGAAGGGAAGTTATTTGAAATGACTTGGTGTCTAGGGGTTAAAACTTTAAAAATAAAGCTTAAAGAATAATTTCTTATGTGATCTTAGAAGTGGAGTCTCAACATTAAGTACATGGCAGTACTTACCCAAGGTGATGACTTATTATTTCTTATTTATACATATTGTATCATTCATTCTGATTATCATTCATTCATATTACTGGGTGCACCTTGTGCTAGAGCTGGTGTTCTTATAAGAAGAAGAAACTAGACATAAACACAGAGGGATGACTTTGAAGACACAGGGGAAACATGGCCAGCTACAGACCACGTTGAGAGGCCTCATGAGAAACCAGCCTTGCCAATACTTCCTTGGTCTTGCACTTCTGGGTAGGTTCTGGCTTCTAGAATTGTGAGAAAATAAATTTCTGTTGTTTAAGCCACCCATTCTGTGGTAGGTACTCTATTACGCAGCCTTAGCAAGTAAATATAATTAAAACTTTTTTAAACCTGTGACTAGTTTCACGACCACATATTTTTTAAAGTAAATTGGTACCCAAAATGCACCTGTTTTTTGTCTTATTTTGCATTTTTGTTGAACTTTATTTCATCTTCAGGGTTTTCAGGCCAGAAATATATATTCTCTTGATRCAAGTCGCAGGATACTTTTTCTGGTGATCCTCTTAACTCTGTTACTTGATGATTTGCTGAATGAAATTTACTGAAGTTTTTTTTGTATTTTTTTTAATGTTTTCTGTTTTTCTTCAAAACTAAGATGATGTTTGAAGTTTAGACCACTTGGATTATTTTACAACATTAAGCATGTTTTGGACTTTTTGTCATCAACACCACCACCGCCTGAATCCTCAGCAACTAGTAAGAAATAAAAAAAGCAATATTATTATAAGAATTAATGTAAATATAGAAATCTCATGATATTCTCTCATCAACTTTATAGCCCAATTAATAATATTAATCTATAGCAAGTACTATGGGTTTCAACATTTGAAAACATTTTGATTCACAGTTGGTTCATTTAAAAAATATAATCTGACAAGTGGTTAGCCAATTAATATCAGTTTCTCATCGAGGTTATTTAATGTGGGAATGAACTTGATGCACAAAAGTTGATAACCAAGGAATACAAAATAATAGTCTACAAAGAATTCAGTGTGTACTAGAAAAAATTCAGAAGTCAATTTTTATATAAGTAAAAAGATCTGTTTCTAGTATACTGAATAATAAAATGTCAGGAGCCTCTTAAAGACCTGATTGTCTCTTCATCATAATGTTGGGATAAAGGGAAAATTTAATAACACTAAGGAATACTCACTTTCTAAGAGCTTGGTAAAAAATCACATATTTTTGAAGTGCAAGTCAGATTTTCCTGCTTTCCTGTCAGAACCCCTCTATTGACAATAGTCCTCAGCAGGCCCCAGGCAGTCTGCTCTCTGGCAGCCCCTGAACTACTAACTTCATCTAATGCCGTAGCGTCCTTCTCTCTAGACTCCAGCCATACCAGTTTTTAAGTTCTTCAATTACACTGGGCTTATTCGCATTTCAACATCTTTTTCTTTCTTTCTTTCTTTTTTTTTTTTTTTTTTAATGTGGTGCTGAGGATCGAACCCAGGGTCTCACATGTGCGAGGCGAGCGCTCTACCGCTGAGCCACAACCCCAGCCCAATTTATTTTTATGTGGTGCTGAGGATCGAACCTACTGCCTCACATGTGTGAGGCAAGTGCTCTACCACTGAGCTACATACAGCCCCAGTCCTCAACATCTTTTTCTTAATGTTCAGTGTTTTCACTTCTCTTCTCCTTTTTGTGTGAGCCAAGTTTACTGTCTTGAGATCTTGGCATATGCATCCACATACACACCCATACTCTCTCTGAGGCATGTAATCAGCACATTGATTATGCATCGATTGCTTAATGTGTAGCTCCCCCCCATCACCACTCCATGGTAACTCTTGGAGATAAGGACAACAATTTTTCCCCAAGGCTTGCCTGACTTGGGTCCTTGTATGGAACAGACACTCAATGAATACATCAGTGAAAGCATATGGAGAGTCAGAAACTTTTTGTTTTGTTGAAGGATGCCCCCCTAAATTTGTTAAGGAAAATATTCTCACCCTCTGTAAATTGATTACAATAGCACCAAATGTAACCATCTAAAGGAAGTTTATCTTTCAAGGTGTTTCCATGTGGATTATTGTCAATCAGAATTCTTTACAAAACCTTTGGAATGCTAAACTTGGAAGACAGAAATTAGCATTCCACTTTCAAGATGACATTTCAGTCATTTGATGAACTAATAGTTGCACCTAAGCACTATAACAGGCTTTCTGAATGTTAAACCTAATGAATGACTATATGAGTAGAATTTCAGGCCAGGTAAAACAGCACCATGTGGATACATCTGGGAAACAAAAATATGGGGGAGTGTCCTTTAAGTCACCCCCTTTGGCCAGCTTTACATGTAGGACTTCCTTAAGTTGGGCATCTTCTAAGCCACCTTAGGTAGAGAACATGAACCTCAGAAAGGTTAAGCAAGTTGCCCAGAATCTTCATAGTTAATGGGGTACACCAGTCTAAAGCTGTATTCTCATGTATCCCTGATATCTCAGACTCTGGTTTTGATACTGTTCTTACAGTCTTGCAGAGGTGCCTCAGGAGCCGCCTTCTAGAGGGACAAAGACACCTAGCTTCAACCTCTACTTCAGTTTATTCCTGTCAAATCTTATATAGAATTACACATTAGATCTTTTTGAGGGATGTTGGGGGTTGAGGCCTGAAAGCCATTRATTACCAGTCTGCATCAGCAAAGCAGGGCTCATTTTATATTTACTGTTCATGTTTTTGTCATGTGACATTCAGCTCACCCTGACCTCTGGCTTCTTTGTAAGGAGCAAAAGCAGAATCCATCTCACCTTGTGCTACTACCACTTCTTCCTGCTTTTTCATCTCCTCTTCAATTTCCTTCATCTTTGCATCATACTCGTCAGCAAGAGATTTCCATTCCACTCTGTTGTTCTGAAGGCCGTTCAGCATGGGTGTGATTTCTTTGTGAAACCGTGAGAACTCCTAAAGAAAATTTTAGGTTGGAAAGTTGGGTTTTGGTATTTTTCACATGCAGAGGAGCTGTAAGGCGCTATGCAGTGCTCAGATCTGTTGGGATGAGCGTAACTAAGTGCCTCTGAGGCTTGGGACTGGGAGGTACAGTCCTTCCTGCCTGCTCAGGAGGTCTGCTCAAGTGGTTCCCRTCTGAGTCCTCACACTTTTTATTCCACCCTGAATGACATCAGGGTCACATCTCAAAATTACTATGGAGAACAGTGACACCCCTAATGGCTTTCCTCTGAGGGGGTGGGTGGGTGGACTTTTGCTATGGTTATAATTGAAGAGAAAAATTCTCATCTAAGAGATTATATGGCTCATTCAAATAATTGGTTTACTTACCTTATATACAAAAGTACAAACAAAATCAATAAATCCAACTTGAAGTTTAGGTAGTTCATCTTTTTTGTTTCTGTCCATCATAGGCTAGAAAGAGAAATAAATCCTTTTAAGATAATTTCCCTATATTTAATGAACAAAATAGACTGATTTGTACTAAATTTTTACTAAGTAATGCATTTTATTCCAACGTCTTTACAATAGGTTGTTGCTGCAGCACTGTTCTCTCCAGATCTCCTTGTTCCCAAAATTCATTTGCAACCAGAAGTGCTACCTGCAAAGGAGAAAGGCTTGGTTCACTACCTCCACTTATTAAGAGAGAACTTGCATTTTATTAGCATGAGTGACATTGAAGGGTAGTATCTACAGTCACTGCTTGAGATGTCAAACTCTAAAGCTATTAAGTTTTTAAAAGATGTACAGATTATATTGAAATAGGAAGGGAGAAGTTTTTACTTGAATATTCTAGACTAATTCTGGGTTTGTATTGCTACTCCTCAGCAATAAAGAATGGGATTGGGAGGACGTTTAGTTCCATAAAACATGTTACAAGTGCAACATTCCTCAATTCCTTCTTTGTTTTGGTTATCTATAAGCATCTAGCACATTTCTTTGTACATGGACACATGCACAGATAGTGTGAGGACACTCAAGAGTTGGGTTAATTTATATCACTAAAAATATTGCCAGGCAATATTTTTATTGTGTGGTGGCACACGCCTGTAATTCCAACGGCTTGGAAGGCTGAGGCAGGAGGATCATGAGTTCAAAGCGAGCCTCAGCAACAGCGGGATGCTAAGCAACTGAGTGAGACCCTGTCTCTAAATAAAATACAAAACAGGGCTGGGGATGTGGCCCAGTGGTTGAGTGCCCCTGAGTTCAATCCCTGCTACCAAAAAAATAAAATATTACCATGTTCAATGAACATTAATTGTGTTACACTGGCGTGGTCCAGGCTTGTGAGAGGGATAAGTGAACTTTTTCTTTCTGATGTGGGGAGTCTAGTAAAAATAGTCATGTGATCTATTTGGGAAGTGCTGTGGATCAAGGAAAGGAGGAAAGAAGTTCCATGAAGGGTTGCATTTATGGTAAGTACAGTAGTTTGCCAGTAAAGAAGAGGAAAAGTCTGTGCAGGAGTAAATGGAATGTCCCCAGCTTATGTGAATAGGAGCTTAGTGTGTGATGCTATGGGAGAGAGTGACAGAAATGCATCTGGGAGTGTGAGTTCTGGACAGGTGGTGACAGGCCCAGTGCTTGTATAAGTCTTGTCAGGGGAAGTGGACTTAAAAGAGGCTGGAAACCTCTGGCAATGGGGAATGGGCTGAGGAGTTAATCAGAGGATAGTTGGGAAGCTGCCACTAAAATTCTGATCAAAGCTTGGTTAAAAGTCTTCACCAAGGACAAAGCAAGTGGGACAGACAAATGATCAAATGATTGTGAAATGAAGGAGATAAACTCAAGTGGAGCCCAAGGTTTCCAGCCGGGTCGTTGCAGATAGGGTATGAGAGGAAGAGCAGGCACATCAGGGTGAGTAAGCACTTGGCTTTGGACTTGATAGTGATGGAGTTCAGGGGACACCACTCCCAAAATTTAAGAATTTAAGAAAATTAAGATTTTAAGAAAATCACAGGAGCAGAAGGCTCACCTTTGAAGCCTTTCTCCCCTGAAGCCAGTCATAAAACCTAGGAAGGATTGTTTGACCTTACCTAAAACCAATTGTAAGACTCTTATTCAAGAGGTGACCCCTATCCCTGGAGGAGAGAAGCCTAAGACAGAGATGCCAAGAAGAACCTGAACAAATCAGCTTTGCTGTTTCCAATTCTTTACCATTAGATCCTCTTTCTCTGTGACTACTTCTTCGCCAAGCCTAGCATAAAAATACACAAATGCAATTGTTTCTTGGCATCTTTTTTTCCTTTCCCCACCCCTGTGGTGCTAGGGATGGAACCYAGAGCCTCACCCATGAGAGGCAAGCCCTCTCCCACTGAGCTATACACCAGACCCTCTGTGTCACACTTAAATACATCTATATTCTTTTGTTAATCTGTCTTTTGCTACAGGGGCATCAGCCATTAACCTAGGATGAGTAAGGAACAGATTTTTCCTCCCTCCCATGAGGAAAAACATAAAACATAAATTACTCTACAGGTAGAATCCACATCTATAGTTGAACCAGGTCATTCTGGCCTTTCTTCTGCTTGAGGTTTTTTCCTAGAAGCAACTGAAGGAAAAGAAGTTTCTTCCATCCAATTAGTAAGTAGTCAACTGATGCCTCCATACCTCTCACTCCACACATGGGCAACAACAACCTTAAACCAGCACCTCAACTAGTGCCCTTTGGGTAACTGACAGCACATCGAAGAAGAGGTTGTAAGAGCAAAACCACCCTTAGCAGCAGACAGCTTGAATGATTCACTCTGGCATTGTTCTCACTTGTCTCCTCAACTAAAAACTCAGACCTCCTCTGAATAAGTTTACAAAAGTTTTTTACAACCTGTTCAGTGATAAGGAATTATTAAAGAAGCAGCTTCTTTCCAAAATTTCCTCCATTTGCCTTATCCTGGGGCCTGATCTAGGCATCTGTTGACTTACTGATATTTATAATTTGTCAGAATAGAATTCTTGGGTAGCAAGATATCTTCATATGGACTTTTACATGGGATCTAGACTGCACCTGAGTGTGAGCAGTGAAAAAAAAAAAAAAAAAACACCCTAGAGCAACAAGAGCCATAGTGCAACTGCACTTGCCTGGCTTTGCACCTCCCAGGGCTTGGTGATAGCCGACAGGTCACATGCTGTCATCATCATTGCCCTTAGGAAGAAAAKAAAAATTGTTAAATAGAAAAAGACACAAACTACTTTTCCCCCCCAAAGGAAAATACCATTCTGACCACTCACATAATGATCTCCTTCTTGGTTGGGTCAATGGTTACATACTTGATGGCCTCCTCCTCAGTTTGCATTTGCTCACAGGCATCCACAATCTTTTGAAACATGGTTCTCTTCCTAGAAAATAATTTTACCATATAAAGGCAGAGCAAAAGGTGTCTCAAATGTGTTTCTCATAGTTCACGTTCCCACTTTGCATCAGGATATCCACATAGCAGAAGTTAAGAGGCCAAAGGATAAGGGAACAGGCAATGGCTGCCTAATTTTGTCATAGAAAGGGCTTAAGAAAAAAAGCACAAATCAAAAAGGGGGGAAAAACCAGGTAACACTGAATACATTAAATCTAAAAGTTACAAATGGGAACAGAGACCATAACAGAGAGGGCACAAGACAGAGCCAACAAAAAATCAGAACCCCAAGCACATAGATGCTAGGACTCTTTGGTAACAAGGAAATACAAAATTAAACAGTAAAATATCATCTCACACTCAATAGATTAACAAAATAAAATGCAAGTGTGCACAGATCCAGAGTGTTCTGGATATGGATTGCAGGAACTCTTGTACACTGCTGCTGGGAACATCAATCAGCCTGACTGCTCAAGAGTACAGCTTTGCAAAGTGGCACAGCATTGAACATAGGCAAACCTTAAGCATTACCACTGCTGGGCATGTATTTTAGAGAAGGTCTCATATGTGCATAAGGATATACAGCATCACATTGTAGGCAATGGTGAAAAATTGGAAATCATCTCCATTGCATCCCTAATATTCTTTTTCCTCTTTGAAAAATGAGATCAGAGGCAAATATGGCAAAAAGAAACATGGTTGAATTTGGGTTGTGAACATTTATATTTAAGAATATATTAAGAATTTATTTTCAAGTCTGAACTATTTAATAGTTAAATTTTTAATTAAGAAGGATCAGAAAGGCAAAATTGAATATATGGATCCCATAACTGACTCACTATTATCATCAGTGTTCACTAACAACTTCATATTTCACTTATGAGAAACTGTGTAGATGCTTAGAGTATCTGGTCTCCTTGGTAATGTCATTGTTACATACTGGCTGGCCCTCTGCTGCCTATAACTCAATTTTGTGAGGTTGGCTCATGTGTGCCACRATCACTAAGACTGTTCAGCAGCTAGACTCTGAAAGGATCAAATTTCTGAGCTGGAAACACTGAATACCAGATTCTGGACCATGGGAATTCACCAAGACAAAAGGCCACCTCATGAGGTTGACATCCCTGTGCTGGCAACCTGCAAACTTCCCAGCATATTCTTTAGTTCAAACTTCTTCAGATAACAAGCAATTAACATGGGGGGGAGTGTAAGTTTTTAAAACACATTTCCAGGTTTCTAGTAAATTCTCTATCAGGCACCTGTCTTGAGGATATTCTAATTGACATTCCAAAAGAAAAATAAACAAATTTGCATGCATGCATGTGAAAAAATTCATCTTACCTTTAAGTGCAGCAGATAATTCCTTTAAACGCTGCAGAACCACACAGCGTTTAAGAGCAATCTGTGGTACAGGTGTGGGTGTGTACTTACTTGAAATACAAAGCCAGGTCAGTTGCTATTATTGCAACCTCAAACAAATGAATAACTGTTTCATACTGACGCTTGTTTAGGTTCTGGAAGATGTTTAAACTCTGTAAAATGAAAATAAATTCACAATAAAGTGCAATCATTAATTTGCCTTTGGTCCAACAAATCAAAATATGCTTAACAAGAAGCAAGTCTCAGTTTTGCTTCCAGTTTTTATCTCATGGATTAAGTAAACCCCTCTACTGTACTTTAAGGGAATTTAAATTATAACAGTATATATTGTTAGCAAATATTCAGGTATTCAATGTTGTAAGTTTTCACTATAAAAAAAAAGTGTCTTCTTCCAAGACTATTTTTTAAAAAAAAACAGTAGATTTAGAATGGGCTTATATTAATTGAGGCATTTTAATAARGAATTCCTGGGAGAGGTTTAATGGTTAAACATGTTGGATAATCTACCAGATAATCTTAGAGTGATTATAGGAAGCATTGGTCTTTCAGAAACTACAAATTCCACTAATACTCATATGAATGTAGGAAAAAATAATGAGATCCTCTCATTTGTTCTTAAAATGTTTTCTTGCAATAATATTTTATAAAAACTTAACTAGACTTTTCTTCAAAGAGTTTCTCATTGATAATTATGTTCCTCAGCTTCATTTCTTTCTTTTCAAGAAAACCAGAGTATAAAACTTGGGGTGGTTATTAAAAGCCCTGAGATTTCAAATGAACTGTTGTAGTCAGGCTGAAAGACAGGTGAATGGGGTTTAGCAAATGAAACTGAGAGTGACAAAATCCAGAAAAATTCCAGGAAGAAAAGAAGAGATAGTCTGCTAAGCTATGTAGAGAGAGAGGCAGCATAATATTGAAAACAATGCTGGATTAYATACCACATAATAATAACAAATGGTTCTTACTATCTACCAGGTTATAATTTTGTGAAGACTTTTAATCTCCTCACAGAAAATCATAACACAGAAAGGTTAAGTAACTTACTTAAGGTGAAACAGCTGGAATAAGCCAGCCCTGGTGTCTAACCCAGTGCAGCTTGCCTGCAGAGTTTATGCTTCAGTCTCGACCCTATGCCACCTCTCAACCAGGAGTGCTGGGTCAGTTCCTGGCTTCACCACTTGGTAGTTGTATAATCCTGGACATTGTCATTAATGTCTGTGAGAATTTGGTTTCTCAGATGGGAATGGTAACAGCAGCCCTACCTTGCTGCCTAGCACTTGGTCTATGCTCAATAAAGATCTGTTGTCTCAAATGAAACGAAAACTGGGAACGCATTTTCAAAATGGAAATTGCTGTAAAACTGAAAAATTTTTGTAGCTTTTTTATTGTTACAYAAAGTTTTGAGCCTAGCTCTAGGTTAACATAGAACTGCGAACCCAAGACCATGTGTGGCTCTCATTGATTCCAGGAGATTGAAATAATACAAAGCAATGATTGCATCAGAGCTCAAGTTTTACACACTCTACTATTCAATATATAAATCTGCACTTATGTAATCTTTTTATAACATCTATAACAAGAGGTATTTTTCCAAAGCATGTATAATAGAAAGTAAAACTGATTTTTTTTTGTTGTTAAAACAATGAATTCACCATAGCAACTTTAGTCTTTTTATATTGAGAGTAAAGCAGTGGCTATTAACCACTCCAAATTACAATAAATAAAAATAAAAATTGTCTAAATTATAACCAATTTCTTAGGACAGTTCGCAGCAGCCCCACTGAGCATATTTATTCCAGAATCTCTGAACTAAATCTTGTGATTTAAGTTATTTTCAATCTGGTCTGCACTAGCCARGGACAGGGAAAGGAAGATGGAGCATTTGTCACTTAATCCCACTTAATCTGCTCCCTATTCTCATAGAATGGTGGTCTCCCCTTTGGACTGGTGGTGATCCAGTGGCACATTTGCATTGGCCGGTCAYTGCCTGTACTTTTTTACGGATGTACAGTGCTACGTTCCAAAACTAGTGTGTTTCGTGTGATTCAGACACATTACTCTGGAGATTCAAAACATTTAAAGTCAGCCTTCATAGCTGTACTTGCCAAAGGGGGAAAAAAGAGAATGTCAGAGAAAGTGTGAAAATGCCTTACACTCTTAGATAAACTAATATATGCAGTACCTGAAATCCTTTTTAAAAGCCAGACTGCTGAATTCAAATGAACAATCCCCTCAGTCAGAAACTTCCCTGTTTCTACCAAGTGTCAGGTGGTAGAGTCCAGAACATACCATCATTAACCAGATCAATCGATATTTATTGTGCAATATTCATTTTAGTGCATGTTGCTTATATTTATAAACCTGAACACCTGCTTCAATGTGATAAGAATACATGTGTGTGAAAGAAAAAGCCACATTTCAAGGGAAAGAGAGAAATAAATAGGACTAATGCTGTCCTGCTGTATTCAGGTCAGATCTTTGCCCAATCCAAAATAACAAGACAGTAATATTAAAGTTGATAGATTATTGAACATTCTTTTGCTTTCCAAAATAAATCAATACTGAATTTTAAAATTTTGGTATAACTAAGAGGAAAAGGTTTATATCCAACTCTTGATTGCTGCCTCCTGTGTATAGAACATAGCATACCCAAATTTCACTCTTTTTTTTCATCTCACTCATCCTTGCTTKTAACTGAAAACTCGTGTTTTTAATGGAGAAAATTAATCTTTTCCTAATTCTACATTCTTTTACATTTTCTTCCTTCCTTGAACCTGAGGTTTTTAAAAGAACAGCTTCTAATTGGTATTTTTAAACAAATATTTTTAGTTGTCAATGGACCTTTATTTTATTTATTTATATGCAGTGCTGAGAATTGAACCCAGTGCCTCCCATGTGCTAGGCACACKAGCTACCACTGAGCCACAACCCCAGCCCCTAATTGGTATTTCTTTTTAAGTTGTGGCTATAGATTCATATAGAAGATCTAGAAGATCCTATTTCTGTTCTCATGTTAGTTGCTAGGATGCTCTTGGCCAAACCTGTGGCTGATGTTTAATAAATGTTTGAACCTCACTGTTTTCCCATTTGTCTTCACACATTGGGTTTGGACGGTCTTTGCCATGCTTCATCTCATTTTTCTCATTCTTTCACTAGCCGTCATTTGCTTTTTCTTTAATGTTGTATGTAGTTTTTAAAACTCCATTAAATCCCTTTGGAACAAACATACACATAAAGTTGGAGCTTTGGGGATTGCTGGTAAGTAAGAAAAACAGATCCCGTGGACCTTTCATTAAAACAATAGGCCTCAGGATGTTTGTGCTCACAGCAGCAGCAGAAAGCTCTGTGGACAAGCCCTGCTCTGACTCCCTGTACTGTTCCCCATGCAGTAGGGAATGCCAGGGACCAGGGGTGAAGGAAGGAGCCGACAGCAATGGCCTGATCCCGTTGCAGAGTCCATTGCATCCTAGACTTTGCTCAGTATGAACCTTACAACTTCTAGAAAACCGAAATCAAGGATGAGTTGGTCCCCGCCCCCTCACCCCCCCCCCAAAAAAAAACTAAGGGCAAATATTTTCTCTGATATGTGGGTCTAACCCACAACAAGGGGGGAGGGGATAGAAGTTCAGTGTGTGAAGACAAATGGGAATAAAAGGAAGGGAGAGGGGATGGGGAAAAGAATGAATGGAATGAGTTTGACATAATTTTCCTATGTACATATAAGTACACCAGAGTAAATCTCACCATCATGTACATCCACAAGAAAGGGGTCCTATTTAGAAATAGATAGTCCATGCTTGTGTAATTGCATCGAGTGAATTCTACTGTCATATTTAACTAAAAAAGAACCAAAGTTTAAAAAAAAAAAAAAAGAATGCATTGGTGAAAGTGTTTGAGGCAACAAACTGGAAGCTGAGGATTTCCCCCAGCTGTTCCTGCCCCTTCCCCACAGTATTCCACAGCAGATCTGGCTACATTGAGAGATGAGTAATTTTCAAAACGGAACAAGCACCTGCAACACACAGCAGCACACGATTGTAATCTCAGTGGGGGTGGGCTGAGGCAGGAGGATCACAAGTTCAAAGCCAGCGTCAGCAATGGGGAGACACTAAGCAACTGAGGGAGACCCTGTCTCTAAATAAAATACAAAATAGGGCTGGGAATGTGGCTTAGTGATTGAGGGCCCCTGAGTTCAAGCCCCGGTACAAAACAAATAAACAAACAAAAAAACCTACGCAGTGCAATTCCAACAAAATACCAACAAGTTATGTGTGTGTTTTCATAAATTGACAAATGAATTCAAAAATTCCACATGGAAATGCAAAGGGTCAATGTGTACTGGACCATAAAATTGAATTAAGTTGACAGCAGAAATGATAAAGCAAAACATAAAWTTTATAGCTACTGATGATGGTAAAAAAAATACAAATGATAATAAATTCCTTGTAAAATGGAGGTGAAGATGTGGGGAAAGTTTAAGCACCTTATYTGCTTCACATTTTATAGCAGGGAGTTAATAGATACTATACAGTTGACACATATTGTTTAAAAATAAACACTTATATGCTCAGATATACCTTCCATAACTTTTCACTGACATTTGTTGTTCACTTTAGAGGGGTCTTTAAGAACTAACATCTCTTGTGATAATGACACAATCGTGTGAAATTCTGCATTTCCTTCCATCTCTAAAATGTTTCTGATATATTCAAGTAAATCATTGAGTGCCTTTTATTTCTTATTGTTTAAATTTTTGTGGTGCTGGGGATTGTATCCGGGGCTTCACACATGCTAGCTCTACCACTGAGCTACAGCCTCAGTCCAATGCCCTTTATTTAAGATTAATGGAATTCTACTGAGCAACRAAAAGGAAGGAATCACTAACAAGAGCATGGATGAATTTTAAAATTATATTCTGCATGAAAGAAGCCAGCATGGAAGAGAGCTTATTGTATGATTGTACTTGTTAAAATCCAGAACATGCAAACAAATCCACAAGGACTGAAAGCATTTCAATGGTCAGCTGGGGCTGGGAGAGGAGAGGGGCATGAGCAATCATAAGGGGGAGACAGGAACATTCTGTATCTTGATTGTGGTGGTGGTTCTCCAGTTGTATAAAATGGTAAAAACTCAGAACTGAACATTTTAAAGGGAAGCGTGTGTGTGTGTGTGTGTGTGTGTGTGTGTATGTGTTTCTTTAATAAAGTTGATTTAAAAAATAACTCAAAAAATAGCTTGTGGTATGATTTTGCTTTTGAAAAATTGTTTCTCTCCGTGCTGCCTGTATATAGTCACAGGGTGACTGCAATCAAATTCTTTAAATGTTAATGAAGTATCTGTTTCTGGGTGGAAGGATTTAAAGTGTTGTTTTTTCTTTCTATATTTGTCTTTGAGTTTTTCCCTATGGCTTGAATTTTTATAGTGGGCATATATAGTTTTTGTAATAACTCTGAAATCATTAATTTAAAAAATACATGAGATGTGGTATTCCTTCCCCTCTCCCACACATACACCGAGCATTYTGCTGAAACATAATATAAAGACAAGGGCTCCAAAGGAAGACAGGAGGGCTGTTCCCCAGGCCAGGCCCAGTCAGGCCCAGCCCCACTTGCTCAGCTGGCTTCACTAGCTCACAAAAAAAATCTATTTTTGTTCTTCCCAGACTATTAAAATGGCAATAAAAATATGAATTCCWTGTAGCACAGCAAAACAGATAGAAATGGTTTTAATTGGCTCTGATTGGCKCTCACAGGTGAGTTGAAGCCAGAGAAAGTATGGGCAGATCTGATCTTCACRGTGGTGCCTTTGACACCCACAGAAGAATATTGCAACATGTTGTGGCCTCACTGGTGACTGGACACAGAGCCTTTAATTTCTTCTGTGCTATTTCTTTGTATTAAACGGAACAAAAAGGGATGTTCTGAGTAATAACGGGGTTCTGTGATTTAGACTGAGCAATTTATTTTGTCATTTGTAGAAATGTTTTTTTTTAAAGAGAGAGTGAGAGAGAGGGAGAGAGAGAGAATTTTAATATTTATTTTTTAGTTCTCGGCAGACACAACATCTTTGTTGGTATGTGGTGCTGAGGATCGAACCTGGCCCGCATGCATGCCAGGCGAGCGCGCTACCGCCTGAGCCACATCCCCAGCCCCTGTAGAAATTTTCTGTAGAGCAAATTTTAGTATTAAAATTTATACTGGTGCTCAGCAGTAGAGCACCTGCTCAGCATGGGAAAAGCCTGGACTTCCAGCCTCAGCACTGAGAAAAAGACATTTCTTTATGAGCAAATTGAACACTAAGAAAAAAAAAAATCTGGCTAAAAATATTTCTACCCATTCATTYAGGTAAAGGGTTGATTTCTATCTGGTTTAAATCCCAAGGATTATTACATTCATTTAAAAATTTTTTAAAAACTTTAACATGTGTATTTTCTTTACAGAATTAAAAAGCAAAAGAACTACATTATGTTCCCAAAATAGGAAAAGCACATCTGATATATAAAAGTATCTTTTTTTTTCTTAGTGTTCAATTTGCTCATAAATAAGCTATGCGATTACATCACCTAGCGACTCTATTGACAAGGCTTTAAACATTTGCAATTAGCAGGTCGAATAGTATTGTAGACAGGTCCTTGAAAAGATAGCAAAGATTATTGAGATGTAATATTCCTTTTTAGAAAGAATAATAAGTATTTATATAGCCATCAAAGCCAATTTAGGCTACAAAGTACATAACATAAAAAATTAAGGTGGGAAAACCATAACTCTGTTATAAACTGTCAAAGCTCAGAAGGAAAACATGTAAGATACCGGGAGCCTTCCAATGTCAAGCATTGAGATATTTGGCTGTAGCTTTTAAAATGTATTTTGATTTAGTAAATAAATGTATAATTAAGTGATAGATATATTTGACATGGCCTCATGGTGGTATCATAGAAACAATGGGATGTACAGAAAATTCTTACTCAGAAACCAAAGATTGTTCCATAAGCAAAACAAAGAATTATGACAAATTAGGTGATGAGAGTTTTCCTTTCTTGAATTCCTTCCAGTCTACTCCTCCTCTTCTTTGTTTTTTAATTTTTATTTATTTATTTTTTTTAGTCATACATGACAGTMGAATGCATTTTGATATATAATACATACATGGAATACATACATCAATCATATTGTCTATTCTATTCTGCTGCCCTTCCTATCCTCCCCTCCTCTCCCATCTTCTTTTTTTTCAAAAAACATTTATTTTTTAGTTGTAGTTGGACACAATACCTATATTTCACTTATTTATTTATTTTTTTATGTGGTACTGAGGATGGAACCCAGGGTCTCGCACGTGCGAGCAGAGTGCTCTACAGCTGAGCCACAACCCCAGCCCCTCTACTCTTCTTTTAATTGCCATAGAACAGCTATTACCTATGGGAGGATTTCTGCTGTAGGGAGAGATTCTATCTGCCCCTCAGGATTAAAGAGGCCTGGTTCAAATGCAAAACCCTAGACTCTGGCTCCAAAAAGGCTGGCCAGACTGTGCTTTCAAGAACACACACACACACACACTCACACACACACACACACATATACACAAACACACACATACCAGTAAACTGGCAATTCTGAAGAAGCTGGTCTGGACACCCATGTCTGACAACCACCATCTAGACTCCCCCAAGGTGCAATGAATCAAACATGGTTTGTCCTCTCTGAAACTCATGTTGAAATTTGATTCGCAACGTAAGGGTGTTGGTGAGGCCCTTGAGAAGTGAAGGTGTCATTGGGAGGGATTAATGCCTTTCTGGAAGTTCGTTCTCATGAAAGTTGTTATAAAGCAGACAGACGCTTACGACTGTCTCTTCTTCATGCCTACCTGCTCTTCCACCCCGAGACTCAGCAGATGTGGCCGTCTGATCTTGGATTTCCCAGTTTCCAAAAATGTGAACCAAAATAAACTTCCACTCTATAAATTATCCAGTCTCTGATATTTTGTTATAGCAACAGAAAACAGAAAACAGACTAAGGGTAGACGACATGTTTCACCAAGGGCATTGCTGATTGAGAAAAGCTACAGCAGGTTTAGGGTGGATGTAGTGTTGAGTGCTTATCAATCAGACATTATTAAAACCACTCAGATCATTTTCTTTTTTTTTTTCCACTTCTCTGCCCAGTCACCCTGCCTTAGAAGATGTTCCCACATGGCTTGTATGGACCATCTTGAGGCTTTTCATTACCTAGAAGAATTGAGTGTTCTCTCTAGACTTGACTTATTTCTGTGTATTCCCTCCCTGAGTCTTTAATAAAAGATTTTTACTGTAGATGAGAAAAAAGCCCCACTCTCCAGAGGGTGTATTTATCCTAATGAGCATACAATTCTCAGTAAGTTTGTTGCCTGTGAAAAATAGTGTCCCCTCTATTGAATAACGACTCATTTGAATTGGTTTTGGTTTGAAACTTTCTTAAGAAAGTGTTATTACATTATGTTCACAACTTTCCCACCTATCTATCTACCCCTTAAATAAAACTGAAGAAGGGAAGAAGAAGCAGCAGCTCCTAGGGAAGGGAGACTAGCAGAACGTGATAGGTGCCACTCATCATGAATTCAAAAGACTTAAAGCCACTTCCTACCTAAAGCCATCTCTGACCCCTTCCCTTTTTCCTCCCATGAATGTGTTCCCTCCCTTTGGAGTTCCAGAACATGACTCCGTGCCCCTCTGATGGCAGCTACCTGTTTCTGTCTCATTTCCTGATCCATGCCTATTCCACTCTCAAGTCCTGCTCTCTCCGAGGCACAAACCAGGCTCCACAGTGTGTGCCCCAAGAAGTATAAGTAAACCAGGCACCTGCGTGGCCTCTTTCCCCCTTTACGCTAACTTATGTATGCTCAGCATGCAGAGAGTCTTTCACATCCACCGTATGCTTTTACTTCTTTGCCCAGGGACGCACAGAGATTCTGTTGACTTTCCATGGTTCTCTGTCTGAGCTACTTCAACTCATGGTTCAAAAACAACAACGGCAGTATAGCGATCCGCATGGTAAGGCATGCATTGTCAATACCATAACTCAGGGCTACTCTCTTTGCAGCATTTTCTGTGGGTTAGGGCTCTGATCCAGAATCAGTAAGCTGCCCTGGAGAAAGGTGCACTTACCTCATCATTCAAGAGGGTCTTACTGTACTCCAGATGGTGCCTCTCCAAAATAGATGACCCATGAAGCCTCGCCAGTGGAGATGTGGACCTAGGAGGAAAACCACAACTTTAGCTGTTAAAGGATCACACAGAAGTCCATACTACAGAATCTTTACTGTYTCGGGATTCTTTTTTTCCATCTCTCTCCTCTTTCACCCACTAAATGTTTCTGTGAAATGGTCAAAAATAACATATTGAAAAGGTTTTTTTTTTTTTTTAGGTTAAACAGATGAGAATATGCTATTTCAGAAAAAAAATTGGAAAAAAACAATGCTTAAATTATTTACATTAGAGTTCAGTTCATCTCCTATATCTAAAATCTTTCCCCTCCTTCTCTCCCTCCCTTCCTTCCTCCTTCCCTTCCCTCCCTCCCTCCCTCCCTCTCTCTCTCTCCTCCCTCCCTCCTTCTTTCCTTCCTTCCTTCCTGCCTTCCTCCCTCCCTCCCCCCTCTCTCTCTCTCTCTTCCTTTCTTCCTTTCTCCAGAAATTAAACCAGGGGTGCTTTCCCATTGAACTCCATCCACAGCCCTCAGGGTCTCACTAAGTAGCTGAAGCTGGCTATGAACTTGCAATCCTCCTGCCTCAGCCTCCCTGTGTCCCTGGGATTATAGTAGTGCACCTAGCTTGTAGCTAAAATGTTTAAGTTCCCCCAGGATCTATGGTGGTGGACCCCGACTTACAAACATGTAGCAAACCTGTGAAAGCCCTTAAATTATTTGCTTAGAATGTGTTCAGTAAGAATTTCCCAGAATCAAGATGAAAATCACCATAAAGTAACATTCTTCCCCTCCTCCCCCAAGACAGTGAAATACATTTATATTTAAAGTTCCCTTTTGTTAAGGGTTATATAAATGGGAACCTCAGCCTTTGGTACCCTGTTTTTCTCCAGCACCTCCTGGCCCAGGAACCGGAAGCTGTATTGAAAATAAAAAGATGAAAGGAATAAGAGGTAAAAAGAGGCTGAACCTAAGGTCTACAAATTATAGGAATTTGCCATAGAAATATAGAAAAAATAATATAATAAAGGAAGATACAAGAAATATAGATGTCAGACAGTAGAKAAGTTTCACTTTACTTCATAGAAAACAGAACTTTACGGAGGGATAATACTCTGATTATGGAATAATTAAACTGTTGGAGCAGTATTATAACTGATTATAATTTTAATAAATGTTTGAATTCCTACTCTGTGTCAGCACTGGAGATTTTCTTTAAATGAATCAAGTTCAATTCTACTTAGAAGGGAGTGAATGATTAATTCTGTTAGGGTTATAAACATCAATCAAATATAATATTGGGAAACTAGATATTTTCCCAGCTTCAAAACAGCACTTCACCTATTACTTATTCTTTACCAAGGAGAAAATGTTCTAGAAAAAGGGATCTGCTGCACATATCTATAAGTAGTCTTAACCTCATAGCTGAAGTGACAAATGGATATCATGGACCTCTGATGCAATGCACAGAGAAGGCACAAGATCATCTATAAAGAATCCTTGCCCAAAATGTCAACCTGARTTTAATCAGGAAACAATTGACTAAATACAAATTGAGGGATATTGTGCAAAATAACTCTTCAAAAATATCAACAACCTGAAAGACACAAAAAGACTGATTAAAGTAGGTTAAAGATACCTGGCAACTAAGTACATGTGATCCTTGACCATATCCTGAATCAGAGAGCAGWTAGCTAGAAAGGATATTATCGGGGTAATTGAAAATTTTTGAGAAAAAATTCTGTGTTAGATAATAGTATTGTTATCAAAAGAAATTTTCCTGAGGGTGATCATTGTCTTGTGTTTATGTAGACGTATGTCCCCCTTCTTCTTTGGAAATGTATGCTGAAATATTTAGGAATAAAATGCCATGATGTCTGCAACCAATTCACAAATGGTTCTGTAAAAAATAATTAATTTACACACACACACACACACACACACACATCTATACATATTTGGGAAGAGAGGAAACTAGTCTGGCAAAATGTTTTCTTAGTAAAAGCAATTTACAAGCCTAGCACGGTAGCACACGCCTATTATCCATCGGCTCAGGAGACTGAGGCAGGAGGATCACGAGTCCAAAGCCAGCCTCAACAACTTAGTGAGGCTCTAAGCAGCTTATCTAGACCCTGTCTCAAAACAAGAATATAAAACAGGCTGGGGATGTGGCTCAGTAGTTAAGCACCCCTGGGCTCAACCTGGTACCAAAATAAAAACAGGTAATTTCCAAAGAAGATGAAAGAACATTGAAGGAAGGACTTCCAAGGAAAGGAAAGAAAAGAAAAACACAATATTCGTTAATAATTTTCTACATTAGAGGGCCTGGCAATAGTTAGCCTGAAGTATTGAAAATTTAATTCTAACCATTCAGGGAGAAAATAATTGGAGGAGAGAATTTGAAGAAACAGAGACGACATGTGTGATCCGATTACTTAGCCTACCAGGTTTCCTTATCTTTCCAAGAATAATTTTTGAAAATTAAAACTCCAGCAGGAGGTGGTGAGAGTTGAGAGCAGAGAGGCCCTTTAACACAGGTGAGTATCATTCCCAACTGCTGCTGGGATTTGAGTGTGTGTGTGTGTTGAGGGGAAATCATTGTTGGTGTTCTCTAGGAAATTTTGAGGTATTGCCTTGGATGATTGAAGACTGGATACAAGTAAAATTTATGTTAAAACTTATTTATTTATTTCTGGCGCTGGGGGTTTAAACCAGGAGCACTTTACCCCTGAAGTACATTCCCWGCCCTTTTTAATGTTTTATTTAGAGACAGGGTCTCACTGAGTTGCTTAGGGCCTAAGCAAAATTCCTAAGATTGGCTTTAAACTTGTGATCCTCCTATCTCAGCCTCCCGAGCTGCTGGGTAACGGGCTTGTGCCCACTGCGCCTGGCTAGGATAAAACTTAAGAAGTAGGAGAGGGTGCARTTTGAGGCTGAGAGAACAGGAGGTTGACGCATCTCTGAAACTTTAAACAGATGGCGTGTGAACATGTACAGAATAAGCAATGGGAACTGCAGAGAAGATGCAGCCACAGTGTCAATGTTAGGAGCCCTTCTGTGACGATGGAGCAGAAGGCCAGGGACAGCCTGTGTCTGGACCTCAGTGAGGCTATAGAGAAGATGCCTCTTGATACCTTCCGTGCAGGCTGCAATATTGGRCGTCTTCATTCAATACTCAAACAGCTAGAAAGCAGAGCCCASCGTGCTGCCTTGCGGGTTGCCTTAATCAATTGCCTAGAAGTGGGTTTCCACTCTTGCCCCAGGGCTCTGCCTTGTTTTGCCCTGATGCATAATTTCATCAATGACTTGAATAAACATGGACAGAAGCCATGACTCTCCAACCTATAGATGATTAAGAAAAGAAAAAAACTGAAAAAAACCCCACCCTAATTTGTTGATTTACAGAGGATGATTGAAAAGGAGAATAAARAATCAAATCAAGAAGATGAAGGTTAATCAGGATTCAAGGTAGTACTTCGAACCATGTGTGGATTACTCYGTCAAACTCCAGGACCCGCATTTTAGGAATGACATAAAAACACTGGAGTGGGTTCAGAGAATAATGATAAGTAGAATTATATGATGAAAACCATTAAAAAAAAATTAAAAGGACTTGGTGTGTACAACTGGGGAAAGAGTATACTTTGGGAAGAGGGACATGATAATTTTCTTTACTAGATGAAGGAATAGTCTGTRGATGATAAATTATACATATTGTGCCAGAACTAGAGACCTGAACTAGGAGAAACCAAAGTTGTGGGGAGATCAATTTCAGTTCAATATCATGAAGAACATTGGAGTCATATAGAATAGAAGGCTCTGCCTTGTAAGCAAGTAGGTTCTCCATTATGGAGAATAATCAAACGCAGGCCAGAGGAAAGAGGAAGGCATATAGGAGAAGAGAGGCCTACACTGGATGGAAGGATGAGTGAATTCTAAAATTTCTAATTTTTTTCTGATAATGGCATTTCTCCAGTAATCAAAGGAGACCCAAAGATCAGTGAGCTAAAAAACTAATCAGAGAAAAGGGGATGAGAGGGACAAAGAAATCTACAAACATAAAAGCATGGAATGGAAAACAAACTGGTTATATGAGTGAAGTAAACAAAGAGAACACAAAAACTTGAGGGAATAATAAATAGAATTTTGAAAATGGCAAGGTTTTTAGGGCATTGTCGAGGGCATAGTCTAAGGCTGGGAGATGAGAGTGGAAAGGAAACGAAGGATTTCACACATTCTGGAGACAAGTAATCAGATCAAGGGAACAAGGACAAGCCAGGAAGCAGAGTCATCAGGGTCCCAACAGTTTCAGGGGACTCCATAGGTGGCTTCATTGGTACCATCAGTGTGAGAAGAATTATTGAGTCTTATTCAACCTTCTTATTAACTACTTAATAAAAAGTCATGTCGCAACATCTTTGTGGACTCCCTGAGCCATTCTTCCAACAAAATAGGGGTACATAAAGAAGTTCATCAAAATTGCTATTGAAGTACTGTGTGCAAAAAAAAAAAAAAAGAAAAAGAAAAAGACTGCATTTGACCCCGAGAGCTTCGTGGAACTCCCAGAAGGATGTAGTTCCACCTGAGACTGAGGGAAGACAGGCCGGTCCTGCTCTGCAGTCAGGCAACCCTTTCCATCCCCACTTCTACACACAACCGCATTTAATCTTCATACCTTGCTCGTGTCCAGTTWCCAGAAGAGACATGTTTTAAAGACCCTAAGAGTCCCCACACTGGCCGGCCAAGGCAGAGATCTGGGATATGGGATAGGCATCTTTTTCCTACAAACGGGGAGGTGAGACACCACACCCAATCCTGATGCTTCCTGTAACCTAAGGTAAGTGTGACTTCCTCCTTTGGAACTGATTTTCTCATCCATAACAGCGGGGAATGTCAGTATCTCCCATGGGGGGTGCTAGGAGGATAAAATAAGACAATGCATGTCAAGTTCTTAGCTTCGTCCAGCACACAAGAGGGTACCCCATGAATGTTAGGTCCTTTGTAACTGAATTGGTTAATATACTGCCCAAAGTGAAAGAGGCAGAGAACTCCAACCACTGTCAGGAGATTTGCACATAGGACAGAATGATCAGTGTGGACCGGACGAACCCAGGATGAAGAGATTCTTGCCCCAAGCCTCAGCAGATCCCCCTTTCAKGATAAGACCTAAGTGCTACCACTGCTGAAGGTGAGGAATCACTATTTACAAAGTGCTTTACATTTGCTCAATGTTTTTCTTGAGCACCAACTATGTAGGTTTCACATATATAATGTCATTGGATTCTCATCACAATCTTTGAGAGGCTATTATTATATCCATTTCATAGCTAAGAAACTGAATCTTAAATAGATTAAGTGCCTCACCCAAGATACCTCAAGCAGACAGGAGTTGGACCCCCAAAACCAATACTCCTAAGCCTGATCTTCTTGAAACACCTCACTACCTCTGGAGAGGGGTGGGTTAGGTGTCAGAAATGGGGGTGAAGTATAACTGAGGCAGATAGTGCATCTTTAAAACCACTATCAAGGATGATCATGATCCTTGAACAAGGGTGCTTTGGGTGACTCTGAACTTGGACGACCTGAGAGAAACATCATGCTTCGAACATGGACTCGCTGTTATGTCTGTACAGGATGAAAATCATCATAAGAAAGTTTCTTTATCCTTAAAAAAATTTTTTTTTCAAGGATCTGGTCTAGCACGAATACAACTGATGAATTTTGAAGAATACCAATGACTAATAAAAGAAATCAAAATATTTCATATTCATTAAGGGCTAAGAGTCTACCATAAGCTGAGGGCTTTATAGGCATTATCTCACTTAATCTTTACAAAGACCTTACCTGTTAGATGCCATGATTATAATTCCTATTTTCCAGATGAGGAAATTGAGGCTTATAAAGCAGAAATAACTTGTGAACCCAGTGAAACCAAATCTGTCTGACCCTGAGCCTGCCCCCTTATTATTGCACTTTCTTTCTTGGGGCAAGAGAGGAAAATGGCATTGATGTTAGGATAGAAGACCAGCTAAAGGAGGGTTTGACTTTTAGAAGCCAAGGGACCAAGAAATGAAGGGTGATGAGCCCAGGAAGAAGTGTTCTCCAGCTCAAGCTGGGGAGCATTCTTAGATGGACGCAAATTTAAGCCTAAGATTAACGTACTTTTCTTTTTCTCAGTATGGTGAACTGAACCCAGGAGCGCTCTACCACTGAGCTGCACCGGCCCTTTTTTACAATTATTATTTTGAGACAGGACCTTGCTACGTTGCTAAGGCTGGCCTCAAACGTGCAATTCCCCTACCTCAGCCTCCTGAACAGCTGGGACTATGGCGTGCACCACCGCTGTTCCCAGAAAATGAAAGTCAGTACTCTGATTTGAAGTCAGTACTCTGATTAAATAAAGAAAAAAAAATGAAGGCATATAAAAATAAGGCATTTGGAAATGGAAACGGAAGGATGTAAGCAGCCGGGCAGAAAGAGCAGACATCATCACGATGGCTGAAGCTTGGGAGGGAACAGAATAAGGCATTGCTGTTCCCAAACCGGGTAAAGAGAAATTCACTGGGCTAACGGATAGGGAAAGTCTTCTTCTCCCCCTAGGCACCTTGGAACACCCACAAGGACATGTCAATACTGCATCTGTGTTCACTTACTTCATCTGGTACAAATTATTGGTGCCTCTGTGATCAATGTCATGGCAGAAGGCAGCAGCAAGCATGGCAAAAGCTTCCAGATCTGTGTAGTATTTTTTTAGTCTTCCTGTCTAAAAATATACAAAGGCACATATTTATGTCAATTAATACATCTCCCCAGCAAGGCCTGCCTGCACCCACCACGATTTCACAGAGAGTTGGCTTATTTCTTGTGTGTCACATAGCATTCTGGGAAATTCCCAAACCTAGCAGGCGACTGAATTTTCCTTTAAGAAATGAGTTGCATGAAGGTCGGGGTGCTAATTCAGCCCAGTGCCCAGAGATTCCCCACATTCCTGGGATCATCTGCAGCAAGACTGGGGTTTGAYTGTAACCATGAACTTAAAATGAAGCATCTGAAGTAGTGCTCAAGTGGGAACTGGCAGTTTTACAATGATTTCCAGGACTTCGTGACCTACCATCAGCAGAGTAAACATGGTCTGTCCCACGTTGAACCCGTGCCGCCAGTTGTGGTAAGTGACAGCGCGGTACCCTTTCCTCACCGTGTACATCCATCTGGTAAGAACCTGTTACCCAAAGACACAACGTCGGTCAGACTTTGGAATCGAATTCTAAAGGTTAGAAGGCCTGTGACAATCTTATCTCMAAAGATGTGTTGGTCTTGTTGACAGAGTTGAAGCTGATGTATTTACAAAGTTAATGATAATTTAAAATCCAAACTGAGTTAATCTTTTGAACCACAGAAAACATTAGGGAAGTGCAGCAACAGAATCACACCGTGTTTTTTTTTTTTTTAAATGAAATAACATCTGACCTCTACAGGTACTTTGAATTTCTCCACCACATTTATTTCAAAAAACATTCGGAGTCCACATTTAATCAATTCGTGCTCTGTAATGGGGAAGTCGCTGAAGCGGAATTCATACAGTTCTACCGCCTGTGGGTCCGGCAAGTCCTCTTTCTGTTGAAAAGACAAATTGTCTTAGATTGCATTCATCTTTTCCCCTTTATGATCACATACCCAACACTGAACGGAAAACCAAATTGTAATAAATGGATAACACAGGTCCTTCACTGAGCCACTGTGTCAGGCACTGGGTTGTACAGTTTGCACAGATGATCTTTACAAAAACCTACATACATAAGTATGCCCATTTACAGGTGGTGAAACAGATTCTGCCTTATTTTAAAACTTTCTAAGTGATGGGATTMGATTCCAAACCTAATTCCAGTGGCTGTCTTCTTTCTATGATGCAAAATTAAATGTTTAATCTTATCAGATTTCATTACTCAGTTCCTCTTTTGTTCCAGTCAAGAAATATTCAGTCAACAGCAGGTATTTGCTTAATTTCACCCTCTTGTATTTTCCTTTTTATTTGCTCAGTGATAGCCTCCCACTAGACCCATGGTGCCTGTCTCTGAAGGTGCCCAGTCAACGTTTGCTGAATGAATGGCTGAGGGCCTCCCAGTGTGGGTGCACATTTGCTGACACTTCTTTTAACCCACGTCTTGTTAGGACTTAGGGGTATGTGAGAAAAACAGCGAAGTACGTGAGCATTGACACGACTTGGGAAATAAAAATATGGATCCTGCCTTAGAGGAACTTAATTTATTGAAACGGGTATGAAATACAGGCCAGTGAGGGGTGAGAGCTTCGACTCATCAGAGAGCATGGCAGCCAGTGCTTGGTGCTGTGGGAGAAACCAAGTGCCTGGGGACAGGTGGCTTCCCATTAATTAAATAAGGAACTCTGGAGGGACATGAGCTGGTAGAAGGAAGGAAAGAGGAGATCCCATAAGGAAAGAGAAGGAAGGAGGGGATTCCATGATGGGGAGAGATCGTGCCAAGAGACAGTTTAGCAACAGCCACGAGGGTCCACCAGATGGACCTGCAGGAGCTCATTCAGAGACTCTTACTGACTGCACAGCCTGTCCCAATACTGCGCTGAGAGGGTCAAAAAAGTCAGAAAAAGCATGTCACCTCCCTCAGGAAGTTCAAGCTTTCCTAGAGAACAACAAATGGCATAAGCCTGCRTCAAGCAAAATTATGGCTTCTAGTCCCCCGGCCCCTGTGCCTGGGCTGGCTCTTTGGGCTCTTGCCCGTCCCTCACTGGGCTTCCCAGGGCCCTCCTGGGTGCCCCTCTCACCACTGCCACTCTGGTAACTTCGAACAAGATATTTTATTTTTTCTGAAAAGCAATGGCTTGAAGCCAGGAGACCAGCATTCAGTTTTAGGTTCTAATTAGATACATCACCACACCTGAAAAGGCCTCTCTCTATGTTCTCATCTGTGAAATGGGACAGTATAAGGGCATTTTTTTTTAATTTCATTGTTTGGTCATCAATGAATCCCAGTTTCATTTTCAACGGGTCAAAGAAATTGGGACTCCATTCACGGCCCCTTTTTTCCTCCTCCATTTCTCACAGGGCCCTCCTCGGCCCTCTGCTGTCCCTGGCTTTCCTGATCTTTCTTTCTCAAACCTCTCCARACCCCTTGCTCAGCTCAGCCCTTCCTTTTTCTTTTCTTTTTTTTTATTCATTCAGGAATATTTATCAGACCTGTACGTGTCCTAGGCAACAAGAGAAGCCGGCATGGCCACTGTCCCTGAACTATGCACTCCCAGGTGGAGAGACAGGTGATTTGTGAGTCTTGGAAAAATCAGCCCCAGAGGCTGCGAGAGCTGTGGAGTGCGCCCCTCCCCCTCCCACCCCACAGGYCCTGGCGTCTCAGGCCCCTAGTCCTCAGAGATAAGAGTTGGAAATGTTGTTGCCTTCATCGCAGGATCATCACTCTCAAGTGTAAACGTATAATTCAGTAGGAGACATAAGTAAGAAGTTCTCAGAATCATGACTCCTAGGCCCCATTCACAGTCACAGGCCAATTAAATGGGAGTCTAATACAGAAATCACACCGTTTTTCAGTCTGCGATCCCGAGAGATGGATAAAAGCAAAGGCTACTTGTTGGTCTGGTCAGTGGCACTCTGGCTCCATGGAGCTGATGTTCTTTGCAGAAATCACAGCTGAGGGCTGACAGCAGGGGAGGAGCTTGTCGGCAGCCTACTGAGTATAAAGTAACTCCAGGTCTCCTGCCTCCTATGAACTATAATCAGGTGACTTTTGAGGTCCCCTGTGCAGGATGGTCACAGTCTTGTCCCACACCTATCAGCTTTTCTCTGCTGCTAACCGGTGCTCCAGCCACACCCAACTGCTTTGGTCGCCCTGGACCAACCTGCTGTCCTGTGTCTCCACCCCTGTTTGCACTGCCCTTGAGTCCCACTCCCATCTCCAGCCATCTGCAGGCCCCATCTTCTGTCTTGGCCTGGACACTGTCTCCTTTCCCCTCAGACCTCGGCACCGTGGTCTCCCCTGTGACTCTACCATCTTCTGAGCATGGCACGAGGCCTCGACCTTCCCAGAGCCCTGGGATTCAGGCTTCGAGAACACAGCTGGGCAGTGACATYGCTTACATTTCTGTGTCTTCCTAATACACAGGGGGCTTCTTGAACCAGATAAGAGCTAGTTCGTATTTTTTGCCTTCAGCACCTAACGCTGTTCCTTGCGTGGTGTGTCTCAATAGTTACTGAATGAAAAAAAAAAATGAGCAAAGGATAAATCAATGAGGCACGTCTCTGGGAAATGCTCTGCAACTTCTACGGTCTGGTCAACATAAGCAGCAGGGCCTCCAAGAGGGCCCCAAACGGCCCACAGAGCAGGAGGAAGCCAGGAGGAGGGCCTTCACCACCTCCTTTGCCTGACTCAGGGGACTGCCACCCTGTTCCTTCCACACAGAGACCTAGAACCACAGTCACCCCTAGAGAAGAGGCTAGACCTCCCCTGAACCTCAAATTAAGGTGCACCCCTGGAGAAAGAATCAGAGTGAGAAGTGACTCCAGGATGATATTAGAGAATTCTTTCTGGCCCATTTGTTTGCTTTACTTCCTAAATTTTATGCAGTGGTGATTTGGGATTAACCCAGAATGGATTTTACATTCAAAATAAGCTATTTTTGATAAGTCTATTGTACTTGACAACATCAGGTCCTTCCTCCTCTATGTGAGAACTAGGTTCTTTCTGGTGTCAGACATGTTGATTAAAGTTCTATTTGACAAGAAGTTGCATATCAAGTCAGGTGTGGTGGCACACTCAACGTAATATCAACAAACAGGAAGGCTGAGGCAAAGAGGAATCCCAAGTTCAAGTCCAGCCTGGGTAACAGAGTGAGGCCTTGCCCCTGTGTGTGTACCTCAGGGACACAAAACACAGAGGGCAGGAACTGAGCCCTCAACAAGGCTGAGAGGCCAGTGATCTGTGACAGCAGAGCCAAGGGCCAGGGTGGGAGGACAAAGCCTATAAACACGGGAGGGGGCAGGTGAGATGATACCTCTTCGTTTTGTAGGAATGCTTGTATTACCGATTGGACGGGGCAGAGGGAAACAGGATGAAGCAGTTATAGAGGGAATTAAATGTGATATTATTTTAAGGTTCAKGTCTCTGAAATCTTTATAAATATTCCAGGAGCTCATGGGATTGTAGAAGAACCTCACTCTAGCAATGGGGACTCCAGTAAGGGCAAAACTGAAGAAGACCACCCCCCCCTAAAAAAATTCTAAAAGCAATTCTCTTCATCTTCTAGAAGGAAGTCTAACCCTCTTTCTAGAAAGATAACATCATTCAGATATCCTACATTTTTATTCACAATATCTGATTTTTAATTTAAAAATCTTGAAGCATGCTTTTTTAAAAACAGGATCAAATGACTGAAACCAATGTAAAAATAACAGTAGAACCAGGCTTAGAGGTGATTGGGGTGTTAAGGGTTTTTTTTTTTTTAATAATTATGATTTTAAAAATAGTCAAAATAGAAAAATGTTGAAACACTAAAAGAGGAATTATGCATGCAATCTGGAACCAAAAAAGATGATCTCTAATATTAAKAATTTATTGAGTGGGACACGGGACAAAATGAGAGAAGGAACAAGTGAGCTAAAAGAGGAACTGATTTTAACCAGAAATGATAGGGGTGACCTAAGGACAACAGGAAGGCACTGAATTCCTCCAGACTCCACAAGAGAAGTCAGGGAGGGCACATGGTCAATTGAGTCTACAAGGGTCTGTGGTCGAGTGTGACTCTGGCATGCCCTCTGGAGTGGCCAGGGTGCAATCCAAAGGTATGAAAATAAACGAAGTCATGATATCCCTAGATTCTGTGCCTGAGGTCTTTCATGCAGGAGTCTAACTGGGATTCCACATTATCTTTGTGAGTTGAACTGKAGAGGACAAAGATAAAAAACAACAAGAAACCAGCTCTTTTTGGCCTCCCAAAGTATCAGGGAAGAGAAACCTCAACATTTACTTGAGAAATAAGAAAGCAGGTCCTAATATATTTTCTTAAAAGGACATCAGGGATAGAAGGAAAACACTTACCAAAATTTTGACAAGCTGTTTTTCTTCACAGTCTTCAATTGAATCTATATTTAACTTCTCTTTAAATTTCTAAAATGTAAAAGCAATTGAGGTGTGAAATTCCTATGAAGGAGATTTCTATCATGTTCCTCTACTATTAAAATAAGTTAAAAGATACATTTTAAATACAGTAAGTTCCATAATAGAGATGCATTCTGGATACTAAACCCTGTAGTACTTTATTATGAAGAGTTGTACCCAAGAAGTAATTGAATACAACCAATTTCTCTAAATTTGTGGGTAAATAGGTAAAAAGAAAAAAATAGAAAGAAAGAGAAAAATGGGTAGCTTGCATCTGTTTTCCAATTAGCAATTACCCATGATTTCTCCCAGACCTTCTCATCTTTAACATGTCAAACACTCAAATCAAGTATTTTTTTTTAGCTCTCAAACTCACCATTGAAACCCAAACCAACCAAACAAAACCCAAACTACACCTGTGCACATACCCCCAAATCAAGCAAAATGCAAGGAATGGAGATAAAAGGTGTGTGATGTTTTTCTTTCATTTTGTGGCAATTAAAATGTTAGAAAAATCTGGCTCCCCCAACATCTATGATATCGGTCTTGGTCAATGACTTTCTTTGGTCACTGTGATGTGAGCAAAGACTTGTGTACTTGGGCTTGCTCTTTTGTTCTTCTGTCATCACTGAGAAAAACATCTATCAGGTTGCTTCTGGTCCATGAAAGATGAAGAACACATAGAGCAAACCCAACTCACATCTTGGAGCCACACTCAGTCAAAGTCAAACAAAGCCTGGTCAACCCCCAAATTCATGTGTGAGAGAGAGATGCTCTTACTACATGCCACTGTTCTATTGTGGTGGTTGTTATGCAGCATTATATGATAATAACGGACTAATACATTGTTCTTCCTGGAAATATTTTTTTCCCTTGATAGCACACTTGAATCTAGATATCACTACTTGAGATCCTATAAACCCAGGAACTGTTATTAACATAGACCAATCTAACCAAGTAACCTAGCATCCTGGGTCTATGTACACTGAGCCACCAAAGTCCTCCTTCAGCCCCTCTTTCTGCTTTCCCCTCCTTAGCCCAGGACTAAACTTATGTCCCTTTGTCAGATTCCGGGGTGATTAGGTGATTTCCAGAAGCTGAGGTCAACTACCACCTAGTATTTATAGGGTTAAATTCCCCACTTACCAAAATAGACTTAATTTCATCAGGAGTGGCTTTGGTATGGTTCATGAGCATTTCCTGAGCAATGTCCTTTCTATTTTCTAGCTTATTCATCTTCTCATAGGTGTCAGTATTTAAAAGAGACCATCCAAGGAATTGTGTGAGAGTCTGAAATGTATAAAAAGTTATCCAGATTATCTAAGTTAAAGGAAAATCGATGTGGTGAGAGCAATCTATAGGCTTTCTAATTAGTCAGTTTCCTTCACCATCAGAAACCCAGTTCCTTACTTTAATATAACATATAAATAATCAGACGCACACAATAAAATCGATGAATCCCTTGCTTTTCAAAGAGCAATGAACCATGAGCACTCTATTGCAGGAGAAGAATTATAAACCACAGTAGAATAAATAAAGCAGAATCTAAAAATTGGACAGAGGGCTGGGGTTGAGAAAGAGAATGAAGAAGAAGATAGAAATACTCTTTCCTGTTTTTCTAGAATTAGAAAGAATTTTGGTTAAGCCAAAACTTTACACTTCAGTAGGAAATGTTGCAATTTGTAGAAGTCAGGAAATAGAAATGACACAATAACAATATTTTGGTTTTAATCATGAGTGACTCATGTCTTAATTGCCCTCCAAAATATCATCCCAGAATAACAAATAATTATGCATCCTCCATTATTTTKCGAATTTCACTTACTTCCATTATTTTATTATTGCGCTTACTTCAGTAATGTGTTCGTCATGTTCATCAAAAGGCTTTCCATCCTTCCTGTTGTAAAATGTAGCTACTCCCACAATATCTTCTTTTTTGTTGACAATAGGCAGGGACAAGACATGCTTAATGACCCAACCAGTTTCATCTACAGGTCCTTTCTACAAACAATAAGAAAACTTAGGTTCTTTCTTTTTCTTTTCTTCCTTTTTCCCCCTCACTTTTTAATTTGAAAGAGAGATACACAGGATGTTACAAAGAAAAGCAAGGAGAAGCCAGGTGTGGTGGCACCTGCCTGTAATTCCAGTGGCTTGGGAGACTGAGGCGGGGGGATCGTGAGTTCAAAGCCAGCATCAGCAAAAGCAAGGTGCTAAGCCACTCAGTGAGACCCTGTCCCTAAATAAAATACAAAATAGGGCTGGGGATGTGGCTCAGTGGCCGAGTGCCCTTGAGTTCAATCCCTGGTATGCAAAAGAGAGAGAGAGAGAGAGAGAGAGAGAGAGAGAGAGGGAGAGAGAGAGAGAGAGAGAAAGAAAGAAAGAAAGAAATGCGAGGAAATTTCCCATGTATCCTTCACCCAGCTTCTACCAATGGTCATATATGCAATTCCTGCCTTGTGTCAGAACACAGCTGGGACTGTACTTTACCTCACTGTCCTATGATATTTTTTCTTTCTTTCTTTCTTTTTTTTTTTTTTTTGTAGTATTGGAGATTGAATCTGTGGTCTCACTTGTGCTAAGCAAGCACTCTACCACTGAAGTACATGCCCAGCCCTTGTTCAACTCATTTCTTATACAAATTCTCTCTATTGAAATACCTAGTACCATTTTTATTTTTCTGGCTGCTACATCAAGGTAGTGTTTTGTCTCATGGTACATTGAGTTTAAGAAGCATCTGCCAAGCCCCTATGCTGTGCCAAGAAGTGGTCTAGTTGTTGATGTTGTAAAAGTGAATAAAATCAAGGCTCAAGTTACTTCCAGGGTAATGGGAAAATGCAGGTAAGAAGGTTCAGTGTTTCTCAAAGTGTGGTCCAAGGACCACATGCAACAGATTGGTTTTAGCTAGCTTTGTAGTCTCTGGGCATGTGTCTTAAATAAGATCCCTTGATAATTCTGGTGTCCTCTCAAGTGTGACAACTATGACGGAGCATCTGCATAGTATGTGGCTGGGGCAAAGTTAGCCTTGATCCCATACCTCACATTGTTGGTTCTTTGAGCCTCCCGTGGCTCATTCAATCATCCTTTGAGGCCCTGCTGAGTCTTGTCTTTCCCACAAAGCCTTCACTAACTTTTCTGACTCATATGAAACTTGTCTTTTTTCAGCATTCCAACACACTTATAGTCTGGATCACACAATTGAATGTCCAGATATTTCCTAAATGCTTCAGAATTGTTGATTTTGGTCTTTGAGGCTATCTCCTAAATTTATCAAAAGGCAAGGACTATCACATAGACTACTCAATTTTTAAATAAAATATAATAAAGCACATAAATGACTGTTATGTACCCAAGTATTATAAATAACTTGTTTATTACTTATTACTAGTCTTTGTTCTTGGATTGAAAAACAGACAAACCAAACTTCAATTTATGGCTCTTAATGGTCAAAGCTTTAGAAAAAAAGACAGTACTCAATGTTCTCAAAGCCTTTATCCTTGGAAAACACTGAGAAATATTTATATGCTTCTACTATCATATGAACTAGGGACAGAATCCTTAACAGGAAATATATATGAGTACAAAATAACTTCACAACCATAAGTACTCATGTTGTAAATTTGTTGAAGCTTCCCAAGTAAGTTTTAGTAGCTACTTTTCAATATTTTAGCAAATATTTATTTGCTGCCTGTTATGGGTTTATGTGATTTGAGATCCTTTGCCAGTAAAGTGATAAAAGGAATCTTAGCTTAAGAAAAAATTAAAAAATAAAAACTTAAAACTGAGAAAATTCTTTGTACTTCTTTCCTGAAAAAATTGGGGTCATTCTAATTAGTGTTAAAGGATGTACCCCACCGTTCACTTCAAAGAAAAATGGCCCCCCAAAATGTCTACATCCTAATCCCTGGAACCTGTGAATATGAATCTTACATCAAAAGGGGGAATTAAGATAGCAGATGAAACTAAGGTTGCTAATAAGCTTATCTTAAATCAAGCCTGGATTTTACAGGTGGACCTGATGTAATCATGAGGATACTTAGAAGTGGTGCAAAGGGGAGAGTCAAAATCTGGGAAGGACATAGGATGATAGAGTAAGATCAAAATGGGCAATTGCAGGCTCTGAAGACAGAAAGTGTAAGGACCCAAGGAATCCCAGCCTTCTCCCAGAGTTGGAGAAAGCAAGGAGACAGGATTTCTTTTAGAACCTCTGAAAAGGTTCACAGTCTGGCCAACAGCTTGATTTTAGCCCAGTGACCCATTCTGATGTCCAGAACAGTATGATGAGACTTATTTGTGTTTTTCCAAGCCATTAAATGGTTATTTGTTATAGCAGCCATAGGAAACTAATACATCTTGCCTCCAAGGAATGTTCAAGAACCACTGCCTTTGCAGGTTTGWCTGATAAACAGCTCATTCTAAATCACCGGCTTTGCCATCCAACCTCACAGGTACAAAAGGGAAGAGTGAGAATCAAGGTAGGGCATGAGCAGGTGGAGAAGAAAGGGAAGGTGGGTGGTAGCTTGGGGAGAGTGGCTGCTCCAAGCTGGGTCTGCTTTGGGTATTGGAGCCTATAAGAGAGAAGTGGGAGGGAGCTGAGGGGTATGAGGGAGTTGTCAGACAGAGACACCATCCCTACCTAGCTCAGGAAAAGGGAAGGATGCAAGGGTGTGTGGGAGCACCTTAGACCACAGTGCAGTTCTAGACAGCCTGCAGGGTTGTGGGAGCCTCCCAAGGCCAGCGCTGTCCATCAGAGGATTCTGGCTGTATCCCAGGATTGGGCCGCATTAGTACCTCTATCTCACTCAGTCACTGGCTGGGAGCAGCCTATGGAAAGCAGGGCGACGGTGCAAATGTGACAGTGAACTGCAGAGCGCAGCAGTCACTGGTCAGCAGCCATCGGGTGGTTGGACGTCAGAAAAACACATTTCCATAGGTACCACACCCGTTCCCTGAAGAACTGGAAAATCCTTGTGGACTGGAGGTTTATTCCACCCTGAGAATTCCTAAGGCCCCAGGGAGGTCTTGAGCCTCTTCTCAGGATGATCAGAGAGGCTGCCTTTCTGTGTAGCTACTCCTGCAGGAGCCACAGCGTGTGGTGCGAGAAAGCCCAGCCCTGGGAACCTCCAGGCAGCCAAGCTCTCCCAGGCTAGCGTCTGCTCACTCCCTGCTTAGATGAAGACTGCCCAAGGTTCAGACCCTGTAGAGAATCACTGACCGCCCCCTTTTCCTGTGTGTCCTAACGTGGCACCCACTCAGTAGAAATATAGAGGGCAGGGCTGGGTACAGCATGGTCACATGGAGGCTTCGGTTGAGATGGAGGGAGAAGTGAGAACCAGTATAATTCCGTGGTGTTTGTGTGTTTCCATGTCAGTGAGCACAGGGAGAGGAAGGCAGATCTGAGGGGAATGTTCCATGTAACCAAGGCCTGGTTCCATTTGCTCCCGGGGGTGCACCACTCAGTCCTCAAAGAAACTGGCTTTTCCACCCACCACAATGGTGGCGCTGTGTGTGGTGTTTAAGAAAGACAGAGGAACAGACAGACAGACAACAGCAGTGCCCACCAGGGAGGAGAGTCTCCACTCCCGTCTGGGATTAGGGCTCTAACCAGGACACAGACCAATAACCACAGAGGACAGAGAGAAGAGGTTATGGAGCCAGATGCCAGCTTATTTTCCATGGTCAGGGTAGGGCAGTGGCAGAGAACATAGGTGGGGAGGTATGACAGGCGGGGAGGGAGGGAATCTGGGTAGAGGGAGGCAGAAATGACAAGCTGGCCCTTCTGTGAACTCAATGAAGTCAGAAAGGGGACAAAAGAGTCCCCAAGTCCCACAATCAAGTCCAAACAGAAAGTCATTGTCTTAGTCCATTTTCTGCTGCTATAATAGAATACCACAGGCTGAGTAATTTATAAAGAAAAGATGTTCACAGATCTCACAGTTCTGGAGGTTGGAGGGTCCAAGAGCATGGCACCGTCCCCTGGGGAAGGCCTTCTTGCTGCCTCACAACAGGGCAAAGAGCATTTGTGGTGAGAGGACAAGAGGGACCAGCTCAGGCCTCTCTTCCTCTTCTCACAAAGCCACTAATGCCATCAAGGGACCCCACTTCATGTCCTCATCTAATTCTCATTACCTCCCAAAGGGCCACCAACAAATGCCACTGATGTATGAACTTGGGGGTGTGGGCGACACAAACCACAGAGCTGTGAGTGGAGAGGAGTGGGCCACCAGGCCAGCAAGTACCCGGACTGGTTCCGGGGCTCATCTGGTGAGTGGGTCAGGTTCTCTAGGAAGTAGGTCTCAGCATGTGGGACAAGAAGGAGAAATTCCAGGGACCCAATAAGCACCGGGCCTCGCTGAGGGCTCAGTTACCTGAAATGTGAAGTACTCGTCTGCAGGGGCGTTGAGCATGTTGCAAATCTGCAAAGCAAGAGGAGACATGAGTCCTGAAATACGGTGTGGTGGAGCCACAGAAGAGAATCAGAGAGAAAGCATCAGGAGCAAGGTTTTATCCACAGCTCTCATCTGCCCAGAGGCAAAGCCTTCACCCTGGACCTCAGCTCGGCCATACTTGCTATCATCTCAGTGAAGTCACTGGGTGATATTTCACCCCATCTCAGCTCCTTTCCACTCCCCCAGCCTCTAAGGAACCCGCTTCAAATCCAAAGCAACTAGCTGTCCAGGCCAAGGAGAGGAGAAAGCTAAACAGGCCATTCTCCTGAGACATGGATGCAGGGGTTGCTCCTTTTTTTGTTTTGTTTTTTTTCCTACAGTGAAATCCAGGTAAAAAAGAGGTGGCAAAGGGACAGGAAGGGACAAAGCCAGACAGCTTTTTGGTGGCACCAAAGTAAGGATTCACTGTGGGAATATCGTTTTAACTACTGGAATTCAGAGACTATTTCTCCCATGCAGACGGACAAGAAATCACTCCATTTTGGATTATTCTATATTACTCGTACCTCATGTCATGTCCACAAGTGCATATTTTTCTTCTTCTTTTTTGTATTGGGGATTGAACCAAGGGGGTTTACCACTGAGTTAAATCCCCAACCCTGCTCTCTGACCCCTCACTTTTTTAGACAGGATCTCTCCGACATGCAGAGGCTGGCCTTGAACTTGTGACTCTCCTGTCTCAGCTTCCCGAATCTCTGAGATTATAGATGTGCACCACCCTTCCCAGCATGAATACATCTTAATAAAAAAACTATATCTTTCTTCCCACCAAAGTTATATTAGATACTTAAAATCACAGCATTTTGATTGGAAGGAATGTTAACAATTAAGTTTAAGCTTCTCCTTTTAAAGATGAGAAAACAGAAGTCCAAAAATGCTAAGTGATTTGTTCTAAGACATGAGATAAAACCAGAACCATGCTCTCCAGAGAGGTGCTGGTGGAACAGGCTCCCTGGCAGGGCCTGGTTTGTATCTGTTGCCCATTTACCTGGAATAAATTCTCCCACCACGAGGCTTCAAGTTGATGACAGTTTAACAACCTGTTTACAAAATTCCTGAGAATGTTAACAATTTTCTGAGTAGGCCTGAGGTGGCTTTGCCCACCAGACCAAATGCTAGTAGCCCTGTGGCACCAAGGCAAGCACTTTTTAAGAGTGTTTGGACCACATGGACTGCTTTTATAGTACTCTTACAAAGAAAATGTGAAAATATTTCATAGTTTTTATGAGCATTTATAGACAAATAGTTTAAGGAATCTTGAATTATCCATTAATTTCAAAATCCATCTTGAATGTATTATATATTTGAATGGACTGAGCACCCTTCAGGCATGGTTTAAAGAGGTGAAAAACATCTTATTCCTCTTTTCTGGCCTTTCCATCAACGATATGTGTTGCAGTCCATACTTTGAGACTTCAAGAGAACATTAACAGATGGATCAAGATGTCAGAGAAATCCCACACCCGACCTATCTGTCTGTGCCTCCCACCATGTCTCTCTTGCATCAAAAATTGACCAATTGTATTAAGATAAAATTAAACCTTCCACAAATCATTGACTTCAAAAGGATGTCTGAAACTCATGTGGCTGCCGAGTAAGAAGTTGAGAGATGGGTGACTCTTTCTCACACTGAGTAAATATTCTCATGTAGAGTTTCAAAGTCCCCAGATAACCTACATTCAACAGTCAAGACTCTTCTGTCTTGTGCAAAGGAAGTAGCCATAACCCTTATCTAGTGTATTCTTGCTGTGACAATTGTAACTATCTCTTAACTAGTAAGAGTTTCATAGGGCATTATTTAGAATTTGAATTTGTCCAATAACTTACAAATCCATTTTCAGCAACATAGGTTGGCAACCCACTGACGAATGTCCAGTGGTCGGCAGGAGGTGTCCTGCGGGGAGATTAGAAGAAATAAAATCATTGCTATAGAGAGAAATGCACCATGCACAAAAACAAAATAGCAACTCCCATGATTTCCTCTTGATAGTACTCACGGAATCACTTTGATTTCTTCCTTCCCATGTAAAATGTAATCTATTACTTTATAAAAGATGACTTCCTAAGAGAGGAGATTATGAGCATGAAATTATTTCCCAAGAAAACACCTCTTTAAGAACTTGTGCATTGCTAAACTACTCATATACTAATTATAAGCTTGTAATAAAGTCAGAAATATTATTGACTGTTTATATTCCTTAAGGCTGAAGTTTCATTTTTAAGAAATTCACTCAGTTTGGGGGGCGGAAATCTTTGACTACCATATCACCAGTCTGTTTCTACTTTTAAGTGATCCCTTTTTGTTATCTAGAAACACTTGACGTGAATAACTTCACTAGAACAAATCACATAATTCCTCAACTGCAATCAATTGTTCATTGGGCACAGTGAGGACACAGCCCCCTTCTGGCACTGACTTATCTGAAAAGTGCCTCTGAAGTAGGGCTCAGTGGACCCTTGGTCAAAGTCAGAAGTGACTTTAAGTATTAGTCTCTCTACTTCATGGGGCAGATGAAGAACCTTAGACCTGTACATTGCAGGCCATCAACTTCTCTTTCCTGTGTGCCAGGAATAAAGAAGTAGATAAATAAACATAGTGCCTGCCCTCATAAAGCTTGAAGCCAAGGTTGAAAGGAAATCGAACCCAAGCCYTCCCTGGGGATCCCAAACCAGCATAACTGAAGAAGAATCCAGCACTTCTTAAAACTTGTGCAGAAGGATTAGGGTGTAACTTAGTGATGGAGCACTAGCCCAGAACACACAAGACCCTGAGTTCAATCCCCAGCACCACTTTAAAGAAAAAATGCACTGCAGGAGAAAAACTCAGACCTTCCCAGGCCAGTGCTCCTTCGGCAGCCCCCTAGTTTAGAACCTGACACCAAACACACACAGCATCAGAAATGATGTTTGTATTTACCCTTCCATCTGGAGTTTTTGGACCTTTATAAGGCTCAACTTCTCCAAGCTTGATTGGCCATTCATCGTAGAATTCCTGGAGGCAAATATATTTAAACGYTATTAAACAAACTGTCTCATGACCTACCATATCTTATCTGAATTGTATGCATTTGTATAATTTATGTTAATCTATATAGTTCTGGAATGTTAGACCTGAAAAAAACCTATAATTCTCAGCAATAGTGATTACACACTTGTGACTGTAAACAAGTAGCTTGACTTTTTTTTTTATTTGTAAATGGGGATACTAGTAGAATTTATACTAGAGCATTGTTGTAAGGATTAAATGCATAATGCGTACTAACTGGCACATAGTTCAAAGTCCTCAGCGTAGAGCAGTTCCTTAATAAACAACTAAACTAAATCCAGACCGGTTAAGAGGCTTGGCCAAGGTCACTCAGAGCAGTCAACAATGTCAGTTGCCTTGCCCTTCATTCACTCTCCCCTCTTCTTGCTAGCAGAATCTCATTTTATTTGGATATCTGATGATAATTTGTTTAGGGAAGAAGGGCCCTGGCCAGCCTGTACCTGGTACTGTATCAGGTGCTTGAATTAGTTAGAGGGCAGGTAGGTAACTCAGTTCTGGCCAGCAAAGGAGAGAAGTCTGCTTAGGAGCTACTAGAGAAAGGTGTCTCTTAGATAAAAGTGACATTTGGAGGAAATATCTCTCCATTTTGTCATGTCTAGGTACCATGCTTTGAGCTCCAAGGATCTTCTTGCCCCCATAAGAAGAGATCTCACAACATTTTGTAGATAGCAAAGAACTTGCCAGAAAAAAAAAAAAAGGAAAGCACCTGGGACTTCGATGACTATACTGAAACCTACATTAGGCAGTGCTGGAACTGTCCAACCAGGGGACTTTTAACATCATTTTGTTAAAGATGCTTTTGGCTGGGTCTCATGTTCCTTGCAACCCAAAGCATTCTAACCAATATACTCAGCTAGAAAGTGCCAGAGACAAAATCAGAATCCATCTTTTCTGATGTTTGGGCCTATGTAAGTCCATTTAGAACAATTACTCTGAAAAAAAAAAAGCTATCAATCACAGGAAGTGTATAAGCTATATTGAACTACAAACCTCCAAAAAAATAGGCAAAATGAGAAATAAACATTATATTATGAATAATATTATATATTTCATTATTTTTGCTTCAAAAAAATTCAAAATTTTTTCAAAATACAAAATCTCAAAATGGTAACTTATTATGCACCTACTGTGTACTATACATTTTCCATATATTATTTCACAACATAAAGAGATGTCCTTATTTTTTAGAAGAGAAAACCAAGACTTTTAACTCAGGTTAAAAGACTTGCRGAAGCTGGGGATGTGGCTCAAGCGGTAGCATGCTTGCCTGAAGAAAGAAGACAGAGAACTGATACTGATACTATACTCCCTGACTTTGAGACTTGATATAAAGTATGAAGATGGTGTGGTATTGGCAAAAGAATAGGCAAACAGATCAGTGGAAGAAATCTGAGAGCCAGAAATAGACCTACACAAATATGATCAACTGAACTTTGGCAAAGGAGCAAAGACCATGGAGAAGGGCTGTTGGAACAATTGAGCATYCACAGGCAAAAAGAATCTACGTACTTTATACCTTCCATTAAAAAGAATTCAACAAGAATCATAGGCCTAAATATAAAACATAAAACTTATAGAATTCTAGATCTTGATACAGAAAATCTAGGTGAACCTGGATTTGTGAAGATTTTTTAGATATAACACCAAAAACTCAATCCACAAAAGAAAAAATGAAAAATTGAACATTATTAAAATTGAAAAATTCTGCTTTGCAAAAGTTGTTGGTGGGAAATGAAAAGATAAACCACAGACAGGGAGAAAATATTTGCAAAACACATGTTCAATAAAGAACTTGTGTATAAAATATGTAAAGACCTCTTTTTTTTCTAAATCATGTCTTGCTGTGTTTCCCAGGACAGTCTGAAGCTCCTGAGCTCAAATGATCCTCCAACTTTAGCCTCCTGAGTGCTGGGATTTGCAGGTGCACACACCACTGAGGCTGTTTGCAAAGAACTCTTAAAACTGAACCATAAGAAAACACAAAACGCAATTTTAAAATGTATATAAAGTATAAGATATAAAACGTATAAGAATGAAAAAAAGATCTGAACAGACATTTCACCAAAGAAGATACAAATGGCAAGAAGCATGTCAAAAGATGCTCAACATCATATGTCACCAGGAAATTGCAAATTAAGACAACAATGAGACACCACCATATCTATTGGAATGGCCAAAACTCTAAAAACAATGACATCATCAACTGCTAAAGAGAAATGTGGATATTCAAAATAATACAGTCCCTTGGGAAGATAGTCTTGCAATGTTTTACAAAGATGAACATAGTCCTGCCATATGACCCGGCAGATTTACCAAAGTAAGTTGAAAACTCACACACACACACACACACACACACACACACACACACACACATGTTTATGGCAGCTTATTCATAATTACAAATTAGAAGCAATCAAGATGAAATAAATGCCATGTGATAGAATATTGTTCAGTCATAAAAAGGAATGAGCTTAGCCAAGATGTGGAATCCTAAGTGTCTAAATGGTTGGGTAGGTAATGAAAACATGGAATAGTAAGCCTTTAAAATAAAGCAAATCCTGCCATGGGTGACAACATGAACGAACCTGGAGAACATTGTGCTAAGGGAATTAGACCAGGCACAGAAAGACAAATAGAACATGATTTCACCTACATGTGGAATCTGAAAAAATCAGACTTACACATGTAGAGAGTAGAATGGTGGTTCCCACAGGCTGAGGGTGAGGGCAGTGGGGCTAGGAAGAAGCTGTCCAAATGCTACAAAGTTTCACTTAGGAGCAACAAGTTTTTAAGACTTATTTTTAAAATATGATGATCAGAGTTAATAATGCATTATATTGTCAAAATTGTTGGAAGAATAGATTTTAAATGCTTTCACTACCAAAAAAAAAATCAGTACGTAAAGTAATAAATATGTTAATTACCTTGATATAATCACCCTACAATGTATACATATATCAAAATTTCACATTGTACCCCATAAATACATAAAATTACTGTCTGTTAAAAATTGGAAAAATTTAAGGAATAAAATTTTTAAAATGAGCTATCAAGCTATGAAAAGACATAGATGAAACCTAAATACATATTGCTAAATTAAAGAAACTAGTCTGCAAAAGCTTTATTCTATATGATTCCAACTATATGGTATTCTGGAAAAGGCAAAAACATAGAGACAGTTAAAAAAAAGATTATTGCCTGGGATTTGGAGTCACGGGTAGGGAGGGGGTTGGGTAGGTGAAAGTCAGGATTTTCAGAACATTGAAGCTATTCGTATGATATTGTAAAGGTAGATATATAACATTGTGCACTTGTCAAAACCTATAGAACTGCACAGCACACAGAGTAAATGATGAACTTTTAAAATAATAATACATCAGTATTGCTTCCTCAACTGCAAAAAAAAAAAAAAAATGTGCCACACTAATGCAAGATGTCAACAGTAAAGGAAGCTGGGGGAGGGGTGGGAAAGAGGAGGATGTTTATGGGAACTCTGTACTTTCCACTCAATTTTCATGAACCTAAAACTCATCTGAACATCAAAGGCTACTAGTTAATTTTAAAAAGAAAAAGATTTAGTGATGATCTATATGGCTTAGGAGTGGATGAGCCCAAATTCAAGCCTGGATCATTTTTGCTCAGAAATGCACACTTTTACTGGGTACCGTGCCTGCTTGGCATTGGCTCTAGTGAGCTATCATGACTGATTATTTACACAGCATATCTGTTTTTCAATGGATCAGGTGTGTATTTGATAGGTGCTCTGCAGTGTGGAACGATGAGGACCTTCTCTTTGGTCATGTCCAGCAGTCCAATGGAGTATCGTTCACAGTTCAGGTAAGTTCTGATTGTGTACAGCGCTTTGTGAAACTGTCGCTCAACATCTGTGAGCTCTTCAAATACTTTGTTGGCTGACCACATAAGAATCTGAAAGTAGATATTTTTTAAAAGYACAGTTAGAACAAAATACACATTTTGTTTAGCATTTCACTGCCCCCTCCCCCCCCAAAAACAGGAGGTACATCCAATAAACTGAACACGTGTCACTAGATGATGCGATTCTATTTTTGAGCACTATGCACCCAGCAAACTTCTCAGATTATCTGAGTGGGATGATGAAGGATTAAAAAACAAAATTTGTGGTCAGGGTATGTGAGTCTGGAACCTCAGTTTCCTCATCTGAACAATGTAGGAGCAGGTATTGGGATTGCAAGGCCCTGGTGAGACCTTCCCATTGCAAGGCCATGGGTTTATGAAGGCAGAGAAGCCATGATGAGACCCCCATATCCAAATGTTTTGGCTCCAAAGGGCAAGTGCTCTCAAGTTGGATATCAAGAAAGTTCCTGGGCAGAGGTCCACTGGCTCCTGCTGGCCATGTGGGTAGAAACCTGCAGGACTCTTTCATGCACTCATAACTAGTCAGAGGTAGCCTGACCTGGAGAGTTAGAATGGGGAGGGACCTCAGAAGCCCCCCATCCCAACAATATCCCTGCATTGTACAGATGAGGAARCTGAGGTTCTAGACTCAGGTATMCTGGCTACAAATATTGTTCTTTATCTTTCTGCCTCATGGAAACAATGAACCTCAAAGAGTGATTTTTTTTTCTTCAAATCAATAGCTTTACCATGATCTAGGAACTGATAAGAGCTTTATGTGAGATCTAATGTCAATTTTTTTTCCTAATGACAATTTAATAGTCACACTAACCATAAGGATAGGAACTCTAATTATCATCACCATCTCAGAAATGAAGAAACCAAGGCCACGCTGGATTTAGTCTTAAAAAAAATAAGCTGAGCCCAGTTGTATATCCAGATGGAGGTTTGAGGGGGTGGGGTAGGGAGACATGAGGGGACACCCAGGACTGAACTCTAGGGATCTATTTCATGTGGCTTAAATCTCCATGAGGGAGAGGAAGGGTCTGGGGCCCTYTGTCAAAACAGGTCAGCATGACTAATGTCACCTTCTTTTACCTGGCTTCTTCGGGATTCAATATTGTATAGGTAGTTGGTATGATGAAGTTTTAGGATGACAGAGACAAAGTTGAGGTATTTGGTAAAGACCTACAGATGGCAGAGAAGAACAGATCATGGCTCCAATACTTTTCCTCTGATTATACAATAAATCTATTTCCTGCACCTCTAAGTGGATGTGCAAGGTTAGCATTACCTCTTCATCCTGTTTGGAAAACTCAGATGCATTTACTTTGTTCACTGCCGCCAGTACTGCAAGAACCTCTTTGCCCATCACGACGGGGGCTGCCAACAGGTTCTTAGTGACATAGCCGGTTTGTTTGTCCATGACGTCAGAAAAATGGTTGTTCTGAAAAACATGTTCACATGTTGTCAACATGGCACATTTTGGTAGATGATCGAAGACATTTCCTCTAATCCAAATCATACCGATGATAACTGGTGACCCAGAACAGTGGTTCCAAACATTCCCCAGGCACTCCGCATTCTGTGACTGCATGGGATGAAATTTCCCATTTCAGATGAGCTTGTCCTACCTGAGCTGTGGCTTGTCCAATTTAGGCTGAGGTTGGGCCAGGAGGAAAGAAGTATGTCACAGCCGAGTGAAAAGTGACATTCTAAAAGGAGGGAAGGAGAAGCACAGGGTGGCGACAGATAGGAAGCCTGCACAGGGGAGGACAGTGATCTGGGAACAGGGACTTCATTCTCAAATACARAAGAGTCCACCTCTACAATTCAACACAAATGAAAATAATGATGATCCTCCAAAATCCTTTCAATCTCTCCTATTGAGGAAATCAGTGTTTCCTTCTATGCCTTTCTCTGTGCATAGACAAAGATCTTTCATTTCTATTTTTCTCCTTTTCTTAATTTCATATAATTCTTTCATCACTTCACAATGTCTGTGGACATCCCCCAAGACAAATGCATATGGATTTGAATTCGCCTCTTAGCTTCTTGCCCAGCACCCCACACTATGGATGCTCTGAGAGCCATTCAACTGTCTTCTACTGATTCTGTTTAGAGTCAGTCCCCTTCCCTCCAACAAACAATACCACACTAATCATTCTTGCTTTTGCTTTTACACAATGGATTCCCAAAGTGGAAATCCCTTTTGCTGAATTGACAGGTTAYTTGCGACTTTAATTTGCACAGATTACTTTTCATGAAAGCATGAAATCTGTACTTCCACTGTGTAAGGAGACCATCCTCTTGCCAGCAWCAAGTACTTATTAGCTTTTTAATATTCTACCAAGCTAATATCTTTTATTCATATATATTGTTTTCTTTCTTTGGGAGAGAGGGAAATGGATCTTCACAGATATGAACTTTCTATATTWGTGTATAGAAGATGATTCTAGAAGAAGGTCAAAGAAGGCAGTTATTATATGATTTGCAATTTCAGAGAATACCCATTTGAGATGGATGGAGACCCAACCTTCTRTGAGTTCTGACATTCTTCCCTTTGAACTTGGGTCTTTTTCAATTGGCAGTGAACTTTCTGCCTACYTCTGAGATTCACTGGCCAAAATTAATGTCCTGTTCTATTCTATGCATAGATAAGTTGTGTTCTTTTCCTTTCCCTGATGTTGATGGTGCTTCTAAAAGCAGCATCAACCTTGGAGKCTGTATTCTGATCAGATTCCGAGGTAAACACATGAGAGTTCACTGATGTGATTTGCAGACCAGAATTGCCCCAGGGAACAAGGACTCGATGGCCAACAGGCCTGAGAATGCAACTCAGAGCAGCAGACCCCAGCTGTGCCTCAGAATCCCCAGCAGACAGTCAGATTCCAAGWCCTCACTGCAGACCCATGGGGACCCAACAAGTACCAAACTCCCAAACTGGAATGTCTGTTCTCCAAGAATCTGTACTTTTAGTGCTCCAGGTAATTTTAATGTCAAACTCAGTAGGTCAATCACTAGAAAAGGGACCATTCACAAAGCAAATGGGTGATGGCTGGGGGAATCCAATGAAGCCCTTCATCCCAGATTTCTYCGATTCCCTTCCCAAAGCAGAAACACTTAAACCAACTATTTCTTCAGGAACCAGCATTGCATAACRAAGAAGAAAATTCTTGAGTCAGACTTCCTTGACTAAAACCAGGCACCAATCTACTAGCTATGTGATCCTGGACATTTTACTTACACTCTGTGTCCTTGTTTCCTAATCTGAAAAGAGGGGGATAGTATTTTCTACTACTTAGAGTCCATGATGTAAAGATAGAACAATCTTGATATAGCATAGCTGGGCACTCAGAAAGTGTCTCATACATAGTAGAAGCTCAATAAATRCTGGAAAGAAAAACCTTGGCCTTTTTTGGGACATCCTAGATGAAAAGTAGTTCTCTTTTGCAATTACCCTTTTGCTTCGGGTCCTAGATTTTCTAACAAATTCTAATCACTGAAGAACTTAGATGCCSTTAGTTGCATACCACTCTCCTGTGCCTAGGAGCACCTTCCTCTAAGAGTCAGCAATTCTGTCCCATGCCATTAAAAGCCACATTTCTTTCCTGACCATTGTTATCTGTTTCTTCTCTCTGCTTCCTGGAACATTTTCACCCTCAGCTCAGGAAACCTCCAGACTCTTAGATTCTTTCTCTTAATCCATTGCTTGCCTAGGCCAGCTCTCATCCTGTTTTCCTCCTATTATCCATTACAGATTGTGGTCACCTTCATTTACACAGCCGTCCCGGGCACTAAAAAATAAATAAAACCCAGAAGCATGCACCACCGCAGGGAGTCAGGCAGCATTTCTCTCCAAACACATTTATCTCAGCAGCTTCGAACCTTGATGCCATTTCGTCCTAGATTCTCAAGTTCCTTTGGCTGTTTTGAGAAAACACCTTTTAAGTTTCAAAATTGAATGCATACTCATGATCACATCTGAAAGTCCAGGATAAATCATCCATCAAATCACAGGGCAGGGGAGGTGTGGCTTTCTAGTTKTYTTTWTTTTTTTTTWTTTTCACTWACTCARATAGTCCTTAGTGAAGTTCTTTGGGTAAATCCTGTGTTTCTAGGACTCCCAAATTCTCTTGATGGTCCTCCTTCCCCCCAAGGAAGCTCCCGAAGGCAACCAGAGAACACGGTTTCGGGCAACAGGATGCCTGATCCCTCCTGATCTCAGTGTGGCTAAATCCTGATTAAACACCATTAACCCTTGGAATCAGGAGGCAGCAAGGGAGGTAAAGAGGAAGAAAGAGGAGAAAAGAAAGGTAGCTCTAGGCATCCAGTTAATTATTGAAAATTTCAACCTTCTCCTGTGGCTTTCTTCTAAACCCGAGTCGGATTCAGGACCATCCATACCGTTAATGAACAGCTTTCCCAATAGAAAAAGAAACAATTAGCTCTAAGAGGATATTTCTCTTTCCTGTTGTTTAAAGTTTTCCTGCCTTTAACCTGTTTTARGAAAGTCATTGACACTTCATACCCAGTCCCCAAAGTCGTACAGGCATAATGATGATCATATCATAACTAGCATTTATTGAGCACCTACTCTGAATCAGGCACCTTGTGTACATTCAATCTATACATTTCGTTGTCTCTATTTCTCACTGGTGGAAATTCAATCCATAACACAGTTACTAAACCTCAGACTTGGCTCTGCACCAAAGCATTTGCCCGACACTGTATAGCRTCCCTGTTACCACCTTCACGATCCCAACGTGGAGAGTACCCAGCTCCGCATCTTTGTCTAGGTGCTAACCAGAATGAAAATCGTGTGTGGTAGAAAGAGGAAGGCCTTGAAGACCTGGTTATTGTTCTGAACCTGACACAGCCTGCCTACCTGACCTTGAGCCAATTCCCACTACACAGATGGAAATACAATGAATGATCCCCATCTCCTGCACAGGATCTTTGGCAGAATCAAATAAGTTTAGGAATGTAAAAAYGCTTTATAAATTGTCAAGTTGCAATAGAAAGGTGATGAATGCATCCGAAATTTCACTTTAAACAGTGGTTTCCACCTGCTTTCTTGTTGCAGATTTTCCTGCAGGCGAAAGCATGGCGAAATGCAGAGTATGAAGAGAGTGCTAGCCTCAGACTCAGGGGGCTTCATTCCGTTCTGGCCTTTCTCACTCACAGACATGTACCATGGACTATGGAGGAGATACAACTCGGGGACCTCAGCTGTCCATTTGCCACAGAACAGACAGCGTTAGACTAGAGATCACCAAGCCCTTCTCATCTCTCATATTCCACAGCTAATTTGAAATTCAACTCCTCCTCCTGGGTCTGCTCACCCAATGAACCTGTGGCTTTCAACATGGGCTGTCTATTAGAATTAGCTGGGGAGCTTTAAAAAAAAAAATACCAATGTCTGTGTCCCAACCTGAGAGTCCAGTGTAATCACCTCAGAAACTCAGGCATCAATATTTTTTTTTAAGCTACCTGTTTGATTTTGAAGAACAGACAGAGTTGAAAAGCACCATGCTGGGGGGAAAAACAGAAATGGAAAGCAAATCAGATCTTTTGCTTTCCCCTGAGTTCAGAAGGGTGTAGGACACACTTCTCTGTCCTACCCAGAACAGCAGGAGTCATCAGGAGAAGGGAGACGCCCATTTCCCCACCCCGTCTCCCACCCTGAACTGCCCTGTCCATGTGGAAATGCCCACCATGGACAGTGACAGGACAGTGCTGCTTCATCTTTTAAGCAGCTCTATTCTGTTTTCTCCTCAACGTGGAGCCCTGAGCTCATTAAAGTATTATAGTAGAAATCATTTACCCACCCGTCCTTCAAAAAGAAAAAAAAATCTCAGAAAAGCCAGGTAATTGGTGCCCCAGTTATTCTGGGGGCTAAGGCAGGAAGATCGCAAGTTCAAAGACAGCCTGGGCAGCTTAGCAAGATGCTGTCTCAAAATAAAAATTTTTAAAAAAAGGGCTGGAGAGGTAGCTTAGTCATAAAGGGTACTTGAGTTCAGTTCCCAGTATTTAAAAAAGTCAGAAAAAAAACATTCTTGAATGTCCACTTCTTAAATTTGATGTTCTCGTGATTCTGAAGGTGGGCTCAGTTGGAAACTGTGAAGAAGCAAATTCCCATGAGAAAATCTCAGGGTGTGGGGACACAGCCTGTGAGCTGGGGTCAAGAGTAGCCTGTCTTAAGGGCACATATCTGTTTAGCCACTGGAAGCAGCTGCCATAGCTTCAAAAGAAAACTTCAAGCAGCTCCAACTCTGTGAAGGAAGGGTTGTAAGAGAGAGCGGGGGTAAGTGCCTGACRAAGTCCCCTACACCTGAGGACTGACCTGCAATTGTTTGCTCCTGTTTGACAAACCACTTCTCCCAGGCCTGAGCCAGCCTCCTCCAGTAAGCAGCTTCAGGAGGCATCGAGGGGATTATACTCCTGGCTCTCCAGCTGCCCTGGTCACCTGCGGGCAGCGGACCCCTGCACAGAACACATTTCAGGGGCTGCTCCCTCCTGGGCACCTCTGCTCCATTGTAATCCATTTCTCCTTTTGTTAATAGGAAATCATAGCAGTGGGGCTCAGGTGCAGAGACAGGGTGCCAGGAGAAACTCCATGCTGAAGTTTCATGTTGCTAAGTGTTGGGTGTTTAATATTTTACCATTTTTCTAAAATGAATATGTATTGCAGTGGTAAGAAGAGTTAAATTTTCTGTTTTTATAAGGGGGATATAACAATGCCTTGTATTAATACAATGTGCTTTTGGTCTTTGGGGGGGGGTCCCAGTGTCCCATTTAATGATAGGCATTCATTCTTGATAGATCTGAGTTATTGAGGGAGGAGGGTAAACTGTACTTAACTATCTCCTAAATTCACATTTGTAATGAGCCAAATCAAACATCTGAAATTTCAAAGGGTATAATTTTTTTCTTTTGGCACATTTGGTCTATCGATAAAAGAATGGATTTATGGACAGACCCAACCCCAAGAACTGCTTGTCCTCTGAGGGTTGTGAATCAGAGGCGTGGGAGCATTGGGCATGTTGGCTGATCCCCCAGTGGTGTGCCCTGCTTGCCTGGGGTTGTTCAAAAAAGAATCTTCAAAGCCATGAGGAGGTAGGGAACTGGTGGAGACCACACCAGGCCCAGGCAGGCGTGTCTGATAAGGTGTCCAACACACAAGGGCATACTGAGAAATATTACTGGCCATCTGAAATTTATTAACGTATTTTTTATTTGCTAGATTTGGCATGGCTGGGCCTGTGTGCTCTCCTTTTCCCATTGCCCACTCTTCCAGGTTTTCACCAAACCAGTGGCACCAGAGTGGTGCCATCTGTGTCCCATTGGTTCCTTCTGACCCTGCCAAGACCTCTGCCCCACTATCAGAAGGTCACCTAACTTTTCTCTTCAGATTTTTTTTAGTTGTAGATGGACGAACTACCTTTATTTTATTTAATTTATTTATTTATTTTATTATTTTTTTTATGTGGTGCTGAGGATGGAACCCAGCGCCTCACACATGCCAGGAAAGCGCTCTACCACTGCGCCACAACCCCAGCCCCAAGGTCACCTACCTTTTTCACATCTGGGACATTAAGGGGTTTCTTCGTGTGAGCAACCCAACCCACAATCCCGACATCCAGGGGAAACACAACTTCTTTATCAGGGACCACCAAGTTGTCCTCAAACTTGGAGGTCGGGGTGATGTCCAGCAGCTTTGAGGCCATCTCCGGCGTGCCATTGCGGGAACGGCATATGAACATACTGCAGCGGTCGGCCTGCAGCAGCTGGGCCATCCTCTGCAGGACCTTGTGTGCCGTCAGCTCGGCACTGCTCCCCTCCTCCTGCACGGACCACAGCAGCTCCAGGCACACAGCGGACTCCTCCACCTGCGTCAGCTCGGGCAGCGACATGCTGGCCTGGACCGGCACCCGGCTGTTCTTGAAGATCTCTCCCAGGACCTCCACCCGCAGCTTTCTGTCGAAGTATTCCTTGGCAAACGCAGGGTTCTCCTCGAGGTATTTTTCCACAGCATTTTTGTTGATCTCACCCATGGTGTGGCTTGCTTTGCTGCTGTTGTTCAGAAAGGAAAATCCTCTAGAGCGTGACCTGAGCCAGAGTGACAAGAAGGAAGTACATACTGGTCAAAATGACGGAAGGAATCCTAGGTGGTAACTCCTAAGACCCCCAAAAATGGAGCTGAAAGGTTGCTCAGGGGAGCCTTCAAACTGCCTGTAATTCCTGGGATGTGACAGAAGGCTGTGGCTTATGATGGGCTTCGGGAAGCAGAGGATTAAAGAGTTCTTCAGGACACTAAATCCCTGAGCATTATTAGCCCCTAAGACCTCAAAGAACACTCAGAGCATCCTAGATCAGCCAGGCAAGTGTCAAGTTGAAGTATCTATTTCAGAAAAAAATAACTGAATGGCTGCTGTCCAGAGCAAGGAAGAATTACTAACATATTCCATAATTATCAGCATCATCTGGCACTCTGAATTGCTCTTGCATGATAGCTATAGAAAGTGCTTGGGTTTCTTGTTTGTTTGTTTACATAGCAACTTTAATGAACTTTGTKGGGAGAGGGAAGGTATAGCAGCCATCATCAGTGCAACATAAAAGTGATTACTAATCTTTCACCTTTCTTAGAAGCCATGGTCACTCAGGTCGCTTGGATTATTCTTTCTCCAAAACCCTCACCTCTCAACCACCCTCTCTAGAAAGCTTGACCTAGGAAGTTTTTAAAAGGAACAAACTTGGGTTTATTACTAAAATGGCAAACACAGGAAAACATTTTCCTATGAATMAAGCTTAATCAAGGCACAGATTGAACCCTAACTCGTTAAGACAGTGGATTGCAAAAAGTGACCCATATGGTGACAACTGAGTTTCCCTGTTAAGAAAATTAGTGTGGATTTTGTTTTTTTCAATAGGAGTAGCCAGACATCATGCATTTTTGCTCCAAGGTACAGTATATTAACCTACTGGACAATWGCTATCTTGTCAGTTGCTAGGATCCTCAACATCTCAGGGGCTACTGGCATAGTAAGAACACTTACCACTATTTAGTTTTGTTTAATGTTCAGCTTATTAAGCTTTTACGTAGATTAAGCACATTCCCCAAATATTTAAACACTATTATGCAACTAATAAATCAAACTATGCATTTCACGAACCAATTGTCTCAAATATTTAAGTGCTGGTTTCAAACTTAGTGACAGTCTTTTAAAACCTTTCAGTAAAGCTCCAACCTAGGGCTGGGATTGTGGCTCAGTGGTAGAGCRCTCGCTTGGCATGGGCGGGACCTGGGTTCGATTCTCAGCACCACATAAAAATAAAAGGCAGTGTGTTATGTCCATCTACAAAAAAGATTCATTCTCTCTCTCTCTCTCTCTCTCAAAAAAAAAGATAAAATAAAATATTAAAAAAAAAGCTCCAACCTAATATGACATATTCTCTTAAGTGAAAAATATACAATATTTTGTAGTGGCTCTAAAAAATTATTATGAGGCCCACATTTAAGTTTGCTTCAAAAAGAGTGACTGTACGGGTTTCATTTAATTCTCTAAACTTAAAGCTTTACCTTGCTAAGGTGATGATGATCTTATTAGTCATAAAAAAAAAAAGAGGTTGAGGTCATAGGTTCTAGGAGTTGAGTCAACTGAGTCACCCCTCCTATCAGACTATCATCATCTTCTAATGCAGTTTTGGATACTCTTCTACCTGGTGATTTCCTGTGACTATGGTGCAGTTCCTATTTCTTCCTAAATTATACAGTATTCTCACAATTCCCTGGTTCCATCCTTCTCTCTTTAGATAGAGAACAACACGTATCTGTATTCCATAACACATTCATCTTTTGTGTTGTCATTGCTAGCTCTCTACCACTGAGCTACACTCCCACTCCTCTGTACACAAATTTATACTTAATAGGAAAATCAGTATGTGCTTGTGTTGATATTCTCCTATTTATAAAAATAAAAGTTATTAGAAAAATAAACATTCTATTTTAGGCAGCRTTGTTTTATTTTTATAATTCCTTGCAGATTCATTTATTTGCTCATTGTTTTAACTTCTGTCTATTGATGGTCCAATTATAAGCAGAACACCATAATAGCTACTGTGGCAGACTTCATGTTCCCTTTGTAAGATTCTTTGCTCCTCTCAGTAACATGGAGTGATTACTGTTTTTTGCTGTTCCTTCTCTAGTGGGTCCATAGGAYTAATTTTGGCCAATGGACCAGAGGCAAAAATGCCACTTTCCCATAGAAAATAATTAAGTGCCAATGTGAGACCCTCCCGTGTTCTGTTCCCCGTGCTGCCATGTTAGTTTCAGTGGATTCACTCTTCAATTCCAGAGTGAGGAGGTCAGGGAACAGAGGCCCCTGCTGACCTGAGATGGATGTGTAGCATGAGGATCTTGTTTGCAGCCTTTGAGACAAGAGGGCTGTTTTTTACTGCATCTTAGCTGAGTGAATTCTGATRGGTACACTTCCACTGCAGGAGATGTGGGGAATGAAGAAGGCTTGGTCTCAGCGTTACAAGTACTTGTAGTGTAGTAAGGGAGAAGAGACTGGTACATAAAAGCCATAAACCATAGAAGATAATATCATAAGTGCCAGAAGTGACATAGGTACACATGGCTTTGAGATTACAGAAGAGTGGGTGCAGGCAGGGTGGAGGTCAAGCATGTTCTGGGTGGTATCAGCAGAGCAATGGCATGGCATAGCCTAACCAGGATAGTCTAGCAAGAGATGAGTATRGAAATGTAGATTGGGCCCAAATTACTGGGGCCTCAGAGTTAGGCTGAGAATCTTGAACACTAGAAAGTTTGGRTCTGGGAGGTAATATTATTAGGGTTCTCCTTTACAAACTTAATCTGGGAGTGCTGAACAGGAAAAATCAGAGAAAAGAAACACTGGACATCAAGATAGAGATTAAGAAGTTATACAGTAGTCCCCCTTATCCAGTTTCACTTTCAGAGGGTTCCGTTGCCTGCAGTCAATTGGAGCCCAAAAATATTTCATGGAAAGTTCCAGAAATAAACAATTTATAAGTTTTAAATAACTTTTAGTACAGTGTATTGTTATTTAATTCTATCTTATTATTTGTTCTATTTATTATTTGTTATAGTTGTTAATCTCTTACTTTGCCTACTTAACAAATCAAACTTTATCATTGGGATTATATACAGGAATAATACTTATAGGRCTCAGTACTATGTGTGGTTTCAGACATATGAAGAATATCTTAAAACATGTCCTCTACCAATAAGGGATCACCATATTGCATTTGGCCCATTATCAAATACTTTAAAAAAATGCATATAGCATTGAACTTATAATTCTGGTTTTATGAATTTATCTTACAAAATAATAATGTATATCATTAATGCAGTTACAAAGGTKCTTATAAAAAGCATGCTTATAAAAKATGTAAAACACACACACTTGTAAAAGATTAGAAATAGCTTAGATATTCAATAATAGAAAGTTGAATAAATAAATGCCATCCAATCCATAGAACAGAGAACTACATAGCTAATAATAGCAAAGTTGCAAAAGTCTCTTTATTGATATGAACAAAAATTTATAATATGCAGTTAATTACAAACTAGTATCACAACATGTTTCCATTAAAACACACATACACACACAGCCATACCTATCTATCTATCTATCTATCTATGCACACACCTGTATATATACCAAAATGTAACTCATTATTTAAAAGTGGTGGGACTTAAGACATTAATTTTTGTCTTCTCCTTTGCTTCCCTGATTTCTCTAAAGTGTCTATAGTGAACATATATCATTTATACAATGAAAAATGTATTGATTCATAAACAAAATCTTTGAGGCTGTCTCTATAGTCTATGGGTGAGGTTGCTTGGGTATGAGGAAGGAAGGGACAAATGTGAGACCCAACCCAACCCAACAAACATKAAGATTAAGCAGTTATTCATTAGAAAAAGTAAGCAAGAAAGGAGGGCTCCTGTGTATTGGCCAGTGGGATGGTTGGAATATTTGTATCTCCCCAMATTCATCTGTTGAAATCCTAACCCCCAATGTGACAGTGTCAGGAGGCGGGACCTCTGGGGGATGATTAGGCCATGAGGGTGGAACCCTCARGAGCAAGATTGGTACTCTTCCAACAGGGACTCCAGAGAGCTCTCCAGTCCTCTTTCCATCATTTGAGGATATGGGAGAGAAGTGGCAATGTGGACCCAACCATGATGGCACCCTGATGTCGGGCTTCCAACCTCCAGAACTGGAGGAATAAAGTTGTGTTGTTTATAAGCCACCCAGCTGATGCTAGTTTGTTAAATCACCTGACCTAAGACAAATGACATTTTATCAAGCAAAAATTTTCAAACAGGGAAAACTAGAAGCCTCAAGATCCTTTCTTTGTGTATTTAAAAGTTAAAATCTAGACAAATGGGGCTGGGGCTATAGTTCAGTGGCAGAGCTAATACGCATGAGGTACTGGGTTCCATCCTTAGCTGCACATAAAAATGAACAAATACAATAAAGGTATGCTGTCCATCTTTTTTCAAAAATCCAGACAAATATTAAATTTTGCATATTAATGTAGACGTTAAATAAAAATTTCAGGCAGTCCTTTTAAAAACTTACAGATGTAACAAAGAATGCTTTAACTTTCTTAAACTTTCTGTTTAACACTTTGACATTTGTCAGAGGTATTCTATATAAATGAGCACCTGTAATACTATCATTGCTAAAATTGTCGATTGCAGTTAACTATTTCTACAAGAAGTTATACTTATATAATAGACAAAAGATATGCACAGAAAGTCGAAGTATCAACATGAAAAGCAGCAATAATGTCCAGGGYTGACTAAGTGCATTTCTGATCCTTACATTGAACCCACTCTTCAGCCCCCACTKAGCTACATGTTGTGTCCTGCCATTATGGACAGGAATTTCAGACATAGTCTGGCAACCAATATCACGTTGCTCCCAGGAGAGCCTTCTGCCTACATCTAATTGATAGGTATAACCAGATATTCTTGGAGACTATTCAGCAGGGGGGACCCATATTATTTTCACATAAATTGATGAGATTGACTGAGATCACTGAGGTTTCAGTGACTTTGCAACCACTGTGGGGGGGGGCGGGGGGGAGGGAGAACCTTGTTAGAAAGATTATTTGACACTTTATACCTGAAAACATT